CAGATAGAAAGTGAAACAGATAGAAAGAGAAACAGATAGAAAGAGAAACAGATAGAAAGAGAAACAGATAGAAAGAGAAACAGAGAGAAAGAGAAACAGAGAGAAAGAGAAACAGATAGAAATTGAAACAGATAGAATGAGAAACAGATAGAAATAGAAACAGACAGAAAGAGAAACAGATAGAAAGAGAAACATATATAAATAGAAACAGATATAAAGAGAAGCAGATAGAAAGAGAAACAGAGAGAAAGAGAAACAGAGAGAAAGAGAAACTGGAAGAAAGAGAGAAAGAAGTACGGACGGAAGGAACGAAGGAGCAACAACAAATACAAAGAGAAACAGAGAGAAAGACAAAGAAACATAGAGAGAAACAAAATAAAAATTGCAGAACTAAGTTGTAAGAAAAACAGTATGAAGAAGTATGAGCAAGTAACAGTTCAAATACATTTAGTAAGAAAAAGTGTAGAGACAGCTAGAGAAACAGATATTAAAAACCAGACAAAAGGGTAAAGTAGAAATAAATATGAAGAAACAGAGAAAAAAAGAAAAAAATAATAGAAATAAAAACAGAAGAATTTTAGCATTAAATTAAATTAGGTAGAAGAAACAGTGAGCAATAATACATTTGATACAGCATGAGAAACAGGAGATAGAAGGAGAAACAGCAGGTTGAAGGAGAAACAGCAGGTAGATGGAGAAACAGCAGGTAGAAGGAGACACAGCAGGTAGAAGAAGAAACAACAAGTAGAAGGAGAAACAGCAGGTAGAAGAAGAAACAACAGGTAGAAGGAGAAACAGCAGGTAGGTAGAAGAAGAAACAACAGTTTGAAGGAGAAACAGCAGGTAGAAGGAGAAACAGAAAGTAATAACAAGAAACAGAAGGAGAAAGAAAAACTAATAGAAAAAAACAGAAGAATAAAAAAAAACAGGGAAAAAAAGTATACAAAATTAATGGTTTGTGTGGATTGTGTTTGTACACTAGAATCATCAAGGGACCGAATAAACATTTTAGAAAAGAAAACATTTTTTCTGTTTTTATGAAAATAAGACAAATATCTTAAATTGTGTTCTGGACATTGCAGATCAGTGTCCAGCTAAAAATTTGGTTGAATATCTTGAACATTCTGTTGAAATATTTAATATGGCGAAGAAAATGATATAACTATTAAAAGTTTAAAGCTGGCTGGACCAATATGGCCGGAGATAACAAAAATTGTCAATTGAAAAGAAGAAAAAAATTTAAATAAAGGGAAATGTGCGAAATCTTGTTCTTGTTAAATTTTATGATGTATGAAGTAACTTATATGATGGCCCAAGTAGAAGGAAAAAATAAAAACCAAAACAAGCAACAATAAAGATAGGTGCGCGAAGCTCCCTAATATTTTTAATAAAATAGGAATTATTCCGAACATCATCATAACTAAAGGATTAATAGCAAAAAAGGGGAAATTGGGAGGGGGAGGGGGCGGGGGGTTATGTCACTTTTTTTCCTTAAGTTCTCTGCAACGAGCCCAATATAATCGTAAAAATGCTCATTATTAACCCTGTTTACCGTAGTGTATACTGTATAGGTACCATTACTAGTATAAAACCTGAAGTGACCTGATTCTGAAACAACTTATAAAACCTAAATTTCCAAATTCTTGATTTATTTTTCATAATTAAGATCCACGCATGATTATATAAACTGGTCAACAGCATTGTCAAAGTACGATGGATTGTAAATGAACAGGGCTTCCCAAAAAAACTTTACGTTGTAAATATTTTTCGTTTAATTCTTACAATCCATGTTATTTTGGAAAGTTTTTTATTTCAATAGTTGCAAGGTGTATTTTGTTTATTTCTGGAACTTATATTTTTTGTTACACCCACTTCTTTGATTATAAGTCAAAAATCAATTTTTCGAATTTTTCAAATGTTAGATTTATGCGTTTTTATATTTTGTATATTTTACAGTGTATCCGTTGTATATTTTACAGTGTATTCATTGTATAGTTTACAATGTATCAGTTGTATAGTTTACAGTGTCTTAGTTGTATAGTTTACAAGTGTATAGTTTACAATGTATTAGTTGTATAGTTTACAGTGTATAGTTTGTATAGTTTACAGTGCACGTGTATTGATTGTATAGTTTACAGTGTATCAGTTTTATAGTTTACAGTGTATAGATTGTATAGTTTACAGTGTATCAGTTTTATAGTTTACAGTGTATAGTTTGTATAGTTTACAGTGTATCAGTTGTATAGTTTACAGTGCACGTGTATTGATTATATAGTTTACAGTGTATCAGTTTTATAGTTTACAGTGTATCAGTTGTATAGTTTACAGTGCACGTGTATAGATTGTATAGTTTACAGTGTATCAGTTTTATAGTTTACAGTGTATAGATTGTATAGTTTAGTTTTACATTGTATCAGTTGTATAGTTTACATTGTATCAGTTGTATTGTTTGTATAGTTTGTATGTATGGTGTGTTTAAAAAACAATGATTTTATATCTGCTACCACCCACACCAGACGATTAACTGTTTCTTAACATTATTTTTAATTGTGCATAATGTTTAGAACTGCATACAATACAGCTACAAAACTAGATTAAACTCACTATCTACAGTCTTTAATTGTAAAAGTCTGTATCGAAGATGTATTCTGCTTGGAGCTTTTCTGAAAAATGTGTGAGAAAAAAATCTAGATTTTCTGTGAATTGACTTGAAATTTTAATTATTAAAAAAATGGGACAATCTTGCCCAACAATCTTTTCAAATATATAATTTGGTTAAAAACCTAGAAATTCATTAAAAAAGTCATTAGGTTCAGATAGGTTCAGAAATCATAAAGGACTGGACTTTTTTGCTGTTTTTTTTTGTTCCCTAATCAGGATTGAAAATTCCCTATAAACTAATAAGTTCACAACTTCAGAAGTTATGAAACAAATTTTATTCAAATCGGACTCTTAAATTTATGTTAAAAAACTATTTCCTAACTGAGCTGAAAACTTTAGAATTGTGGATATCGAGATCAATGCTTAATCTCCTCTTTTAGTTAATGTTCAGATTATTAATCCACAAAAGTGCCTAAAATTCTACCAACCAGAGTGTACCAAAAAGAGGATGAAGAAAACCATAAGTTTCCACGGTGGATATTTAGATTAAGCGATCGGGATTAAGTGTATTAGCTTTTCTAAAGTTTTCAGCTCTAAGCTGGGAACTGTAGAATGGGATATCTTTAATCCTGATCGGTTAATCTGGAGATTAATAACAAGAGGAGAACAAGCATTATTTAATCTAGAGATTAAGAAAAAGACAGGATCAATCATTAATCCCGACATCCACCATTCTAAAGTTTTCACCTCTGGTCTCTTTAGTTTTCTTGAGATTAAATCCGTTGTGCATATTTTGCTTGGACACCCTGTATTGAGCTGTTTTGTTTGGACACCCTGTAATGAGTTGTTTTGTTTGGACACCCTGTTTTGAAACGTTTTGCTTGGACACCCTGTATTGAATTGTTTTGTTAGGACACCCTGTATTGATTTATTCTAGCTCTAATCTTGTTCTAAACTAGAATTCATCTTTTATAATTGCACGTTATTAAAGTTTAACATGCAGCTAGGCAGTTAGGCAGGTTTTATATAAATCAAGAATTCACAATTCCCCACGCCACCCGCCTCAAGTCTATTTTAAACTATATAGTTTTAAAGTTAAACCATAATATCAGGAAGAAAAGTGAAATTTCCGTTTTTAACCAGAAAATTTAAACTCAGAACTCTCAACCATCCGGTTTCTAAAATCCGGATTTTGAAAACCTATTTCCTTTGCAATCCGGTATTTTTCAATACCGGATCATCCACCAAATACATTAGAACTCGGTAAGTCTACTACCCGGATCCTCTGCAACCTGGATACTCTCTTCTACCCGGATCCTCCTCTGCCATCCAGATACTTTATCACCCGGCTGCAACCCAAAACTATACCATCGGGAACCTCTGCAACCAAATTTTTTACTACCCTGGATACAATAAGGATACTCTCAAACCCGGCTCCCTTGCAATTCGTAACCTCTGCAATCCGAATTCTCTACAATCGTTATTCTCATCTGCCCGGATCCTCTGCAATGTATTTCAAAATACCCGGATCCTTTTCAAACCGGGTCATTTGCTACATGGATTCTCTTCAATCCGGATTGATAAAAAAGGAAGATATTTAACTGAATTTTGGAGGAAAATAAAATTTTAAGTTGATATTTTACACCGTCTGTATCCAGTCAATCCATCTGTATTCAGTGAATACATCTGCATCCATCTGTATCCAGTGTATCTATCTGTTTCCATCTGTGTCCAGTGAATCCATCTGTATCCATCTGTATCTATCTGTATCCAGTGTATCCATCTGTATCCAGTGTATCCATCTGTATCCATCTGTATCCAGTGTATCCATCTGTATCCATCTTTATCCATAGAAAATATCCACATTGGAATTTTCAATTCTGTTTTTTAAGAGTAGTAAACATGGATTCGGCCTTTCGATGCAACTTTCAGCGGTAAAATTTAGTCATTTTGATTTAAGATAACTATCAAATACTTAGTTACTTGGATATCAGACAGGCAGTGACTTAATGGGATATTAAACAGGCAGTGACTTAATGGGATATCAAGGAACATTTTTCAGACATCAACCGAAAGTCATATTTGGATATCAAGAAGTAAGTGACGGAAAAAAAGCATCCGATCCTGTGAACAAATATCCAGATTTCAGTGATTTAATTGATATATTAACTGTCCAAAATTGATCCCGCTGGATCTGCCAAAGCACATTTGATCTCCTAATGGGGTTGTATTCAATTAGTACAATACAGTACAGTACAGCAATACAGTTATTAGTTATCAGTACACCAAGGTTGGGTATATGTACAGGTAAACTATACAAAAAGCACAGCTCGCCCTAAACCTTTATCAGCCCTGACCGTGACATTATCTCCTTTATCCCGAAACTCTGAGTGATTAAATTAACGAAACGGTTGTAAAAACTTGAAAAATTTGAAATGAAAAGAAACACAGTTTGTACGATTTCTAAGCACAGTGAATGTACACAGCCACCCTCTAACTGACATTGATAACAGCTGTACAGTGTACATAAATGCTGTATAGAACAGCTGTACATTAAGGCTGTACATCTCCAGGTCCGTGTGTAAACTCTGATGTTGAGAATGAACAGCTCGATGGACGCCAGCTCTGACCCCTACCCTGAGCAGGAATGGTTGGGTAGGGAGGAGGTCATCATCTCAACTGTAGAGGTCATCTTCATCGTCTACCTCTGCATTGTTTTTATTCTAGGTAAACTTAAGGAAGCACATGAGTAGAAAATGAAAACTTTTTTAAAATTATATTTCCTTATTTTAAGATTTACCGCCTTTTGAAAAACATTACAGACCTATGATTCCCCTTAACAGAGAGAAGTTTAATTACTTTACGTCCCTTAGGACAATCAAATAAAATAAGCGAAGTTTTCACTAAAAAAATCGCGCATTTAATCTCAAAAGACGATACAATTGTGTACAACCACTTTTTCGGGAAATTAAAAGCAAAATTCCCTTAAACTAATTATAAACGGTAATGCTTAACAAGAACAAACATTATACTCTTTTTAATTCAAAATCATTTTCAGCCTGTATCTGTAATGTGAGTATTCTGCTTGCATTCTTTAGAAAATCATCTCTACGAACAACATCAAATAGGCAAGTATTATCATTATTTTTGGTATCATCAGTATTGCAATTATTTGAAAATTATTCTATTTTTGACTCACCCTGTATATATATTTAAAGAATCAGCTTAAAATTTGAACATTTTCATATGTTTTTGAGTCTCACTATACGTGGTGTTTCATGCCTTGCGGCAATGCACTTTAGATATGTATATGAATTATTATTATTATCTAGGTTTGTGATCCAGCTACTGATTGTAAACCTCCTATGTTGCTGTATGCTTCTACCATTAACTCTTCTAGAGCTCATCTTCACTATTCCGGGCCAATGCAGTCTTAGGAACCGGTTATAAATATATATATATACAAAATGTCGTCTTTACAGCCTCATTTTTATTGTTTGTTTCTGAAAGAATGTTTAATGGATGTCTTTAATTACAATGGTCAGGCAACAATATCATCCATTCCTCTTCTCTTGAATTTATAAATATTGATAGACATTTTCATATACATGTTTATATCTTTTAGATATGTATTCTGGTTGTATATATTTGATAAATATTTTGTTCATAATCAATAATGGGTCAAAGGAATTGATTCCTTGCAACAAATTCAATTTCTGATTCCTTTATCTTTACAACCTGATGGAGTAAACCTTTGATTTTTCTAGTCGTTTCGTGAGTACGATTAAACTCAAAATATTCTATTAAAGCATGGTCTGTAGATTGAGAGTGTGACGGTAGAGCACAGTGATCCTAAGGTTGCAAGGGGAATTTGGCTAATTACTTCTTAAAAACAAAAGCGTTGCGACACTTCAAGGTCGACCCAGTCTTGAAAACTGATCTGATTTTATGACAATCTGTATCTATATGTTAAAGAGATAAAGAGGGTTTGGGATTAGTTTTTCTCCTCCGGTATTTCATATCTTCTATACATAAAGTTGTAATCTCTGTTTGTCTGTCTGTTTGTTTGTCATATCATAACACAGGAACCCCTGGACTGATTTGCCTCAAATTTTGATTGGGGAACTCGGGAAACCCACGGGAATGATCCTAGCTTGGTTATGGTATTCTAATATGAGTGGTTAGACTTTACTAGCGAAAATTTAGTTTTCCGGTAAAATCGTTTGAGTGCGGGTAAACGGCGGGTGTGTTATTCTTTCATATTAGAGATTTAATTAAGCTTTACTTAAAAGATATTCTTCACTTTAACATTTATCTTGCTATGTAGGTTTATCAAGGGATTTGAATTTGAGCCGCGTCTCAAATCCACCAAAAACCAGTTTCAATTGAGCGCCGGCTACAAATTCAAGTGGAACCAATCATCTTTGAGCCGCGTCTCACAATTAATCCGCGGCTTAAATTCTTCAAATTCGGCCTCGGGGTCCTTTTTTGGGGTTGATACCAGAATCAAGATTAGGGTCAGGATCGTGATCAAGATCACTAATCACAATCAGAATTAGAATCACTGATCAGAATCAGTATCACTGACCGGGATCAGAATCATTAATTGAGAGAAACAGAATCAGTGATCGGGAGGAACAGAACCACTGATTAGGATCAGAATCACTGATTAGGATCAGAATCACTGATTAGGATCAGAATCACTGATTAGGATCAGAATCACTGATTAGGAACAGAATCACTGATTAGGATCAGAACCATTCATTGGGATAAGTATCATTGATCGGGAATAGGGTCAATGATCGGGATTAAGATCAGTGATCGTGATCAAAATCAGACTCACTAATTGGGATCAGTATCACAGTTCGGGATCAGTATTACAGATTGGGATCAGTATTACAGATCAGGAACAGGATCAATAATCGGAATCAGGATCAATGATCGGGATAAAGATCACTGATCAGAATCAGACTCATTAATTGGGATCAGCATCACTGATCGGGATTATTCAATGTTGATTAGAATCAGATTCGTGTTTTCTGACCAATAGTAAAATCCGTCCACTCTGAATATTTTAATTTAAACTTACCTCTCTCTCTCACTTGAAAATAAATATTTTATTGATATTTTGATTTTTATATTTCTATTTATATTTATTTCCGATACTCTAGTGAAACAGTGGCCTGCTGGATTTCATCTTTATCTGTTCTCTCAACTGTTCTAATAGGTAACCTTAGTAACCACACTAAACAGGATTGATAACTTATTTTAAAGGGACTGTGACGTTTTTTCAAGTGATACACAATCAAAAGATGGCAATGCCGAATAACAACGGTACCCTTGAACTTTTTCTGTTCCTTGTGGGTTCTCTGCTGAAGTGATTTGCGCATTTCTTGCTTATAAGAAAAACTGCAGAAATTGACAGAAACAAACACTTTTCGATACAGGTCTTTACATGCAAGGATTTGTATTCCTATTATTCCTATTATTCTTATATTAGTAATTAGATTTAAAAATTACAATCATAGAACCAGATTTGACATGTTTCAAGGTTTAATGATAATTCTCAGTAACACTAACCAATAACCATACAGTTAAATTCTATAGAATAAAGTTAAAATATACATTCATTACATTGTACATCATAAACAATCAAATCTAAATATTTTAAAAATTTAACTGACTAAATACGTTAAATAATGTGTTATAATATAGTATTTAATGCATACTATACATAAGGTTTTAGGTAACCAAAGTCAAGTTTTCAATCTTAGTAATAAAAAGATATGTTAATTAAAAAGTGTCCATGAGAACCTGTTTTTCTGGGTTCAAGAAACCGATAGTTTAGTTAAAAATAAGAAATATATATTGATAATGGAGGAAAAAGGGATTATAAATCTAGTTTTAGGCGACCCCTCAATAGCATGATTACTGTTACCATTTAAAAGTTTTAAAAGTGGTATGAAATAATGGAAATCTAAACCCTGAAAACTGATGTGAGTAAATCTACAGAGTATAGGAAATAATTAATTTACAAGTAAAAAATGAACAAATAAATTAATATTAATGAATCATGGAAAGCCAGATCTCTCTGACAGACTTTCATTTGCCTCGTACGACGAGTTAATCTTTCGTCTTCCGACCCTTGGTCATAACTGACTCCATGCACTTCGGTTTTAGTCCAGGCAGATCCTTTTCTCTCCTTTCAGGTCTTGACTCATGTCTATTGGCTTGAATTTAAAATAGAATTTGGGGCAATGGTGGCTTCGGTTTTCAACGCGTTCAAAGATGTGTTCAGAGCATGTTTTCTGGGTTGGCATTTTCTAACGAACAAATATTTCTCCACGCTATACATAAGGCGACTTATCATCCGCCCCAGTTTCCGTCCGACCTATAGCTATATACAAAAGAGCTAATACCTTGTCTTGTTCATAGGCCGGACTACGTGCAATCAGAGCTTAGCTCCGGGTCCGTATGAGGGCTGAAGGGGTTACATCAATAGAACTATCCAATCTGAGTTGTTCAGCTCCGGGTTGGTATAGGAACAGAACGGGTTACATCAATGGAACTATCCCTATTTCGAGCTATTGAGCTCACACTTGCTACATCTTAGCTCTGGGTCCGTATGAGGACTGAAGGGGTTACATCAATGGAACTATCCCTATTTCGAGCTATTGAGCTCACACTTGCTACATCTTAGCTGTGGGTCCGTATGAGGTCTGAAGGGGTTACATTACATTAACTGTTTAAAATGGCATGGCCATTTACCCATGAGTGCTGAGTGCTGAGTGCCATTACATTAACTGTTTAAAATGGCATGGCCATTTACCCATCTGAGTATGAATGCACAATTAGTTGCAAGCCATCACGCGAATAATTGGCAAAAACATTTTGCCAATTATCTCTTAAATATAAAGCTAAAAACAAGTGCTTTATAGTTCTAAAATGAACATGCCTAGGGCTACAAAAAAGTATATTGAGTAACTTAGGTAAAATCAAAGGTCATTGCGTTGCAACACTTTAAAGTCAACCCAGTCTTAAAAAATTATTCAACTTTTTCTTAGGACATAGGATCTATGTAAACAACACAAAACGTTCAGTTTCTTTTCAGGTTTAGACAAATTTTGACCATTTTCAGCCCTGTCTTGCCAAAAACAACGGCTTGTTTATTCATGGCTGGATAGGTGAATAAAAAACCAAAACAAGATAAAATAGAAGACATTGCATCTCGTCCTGGTTAGTCCAGGCCCAGGCTGTTGTGCGTCTCTATAATGTTGTGTATATTTATATTTCAAGTATTTTATATTTATGTAATGAAGTTTAATCTAAAATGTTGTAAACTGTTGGCAGCAGCAAACAGTTTCAAACAATACAAATTTTCCATTACATAAATTGAAAAAGTTTAACTTTAGTCATTGGATGGGGATCATAAATAATCAGGATCAGGATCAGGATCAGGATTAAGATCAGGATTTTGATCACAATTACAATCAATATCAGAATCTGGATTAAGATCAGGATCAGGATTAAGATCAGGATTAAGATCAGGATCAGCATTAAGATCAGGATTAAGATCAGGATCAGGATTAAGATCAGGATCAGGATTAGAATCAGGATTAAGATCACAATTACAATCAATATCAGAATCAGGATTAAGATCAGGATCAGGATTAGTATTAAGATCAGGATCAGTATTAAGATCAAGATCGAAAAGATCAGGAGGTTCAATTATCATGATCAAGATCAAGATCAAGATAAGAAACTAGCATCATGATAAGTTTAAGTTTCATTATCAGGATCAAGTTCAGAATTATGACAAGTTTAAGTTTCATGATCAGGATCAAGTTTAGAACTTTGATAGGTTGAAGTTTCATGATCAGTATCAAGTTTAGAACTATGATAATCAGGAAATCACGGTTCCAGTAATACTTTACTATCGATGTAAGTACAAATAGTATGATCATGATTAGGATCAAGTTTAGAATTATGGTAAGTACAAATAGAATGATCATGATTTGGATCAAGTTTAGAATTATGATAAGTACAAATAGTATGATCATGATCAGTATAAAGTTCAAAATTATGATAAGTGCAAATAGTATGATCATGATAAGGATCAAGAACCAGAATCATAGATTTCTGTATGATTCAGCAATAGAAAGATGAGTGTACAGTGTGCAGTGTACCCACCTACTAAATATATTCTAAAAACGGGGTTTAACACCTACATCTATCAATTTAATGTTTCATACAGTCCTTTAGTTTAATATCCATCAAATGTACAGGGAGCCCCATATTTATCAAGAGAAGCAGAAAAACAATTAACAAAATTAGTTTACTCTAGTTTTTAAATTAAACACAACATTCTGCATTTTTGTTTTCCCCACAATATCTGCCCTTGTTTGGTGGATGCCAATTAAAAATCAAAAAGACGTTTAAATGTCGTAACTTAAGTCCAACGTTTTTGGGACTCTCTGTAATTTTTATTATTCTTCTAGATATATATATTTTTGGTTTGTCTTTTTGTTGGTTTGTTTGTTTACTGTATAACAATAAAACTCAACAAGTCTGAACCAACCCGGACCACAGTTTTTTTGCGGGACCTGGCATGACCCCAGGGAAGGGGTCATGCCGATAAAAAGTATTCACGATAAGACATTTTAAAAACCTGTCAGTGAGAAATTGAAAATTCGCGAACATTTTTTAACGTTCGAAGCAAACTTAGAATATTTCTATAAAACCATAGTATAATTATATATAAACTGGATAGTTCTAGTTTTATACTGACTAAACTGGTTTATTTTAGTAATCTCGATAATTGAAATCCACCCGCCTAGTAAAAAAACCCAATACTTCCATCTTTTTAAATTGCTCTGTGTGGTCGTTTATAACTAACATCTTCAAATAAAAAAATCCCAAGCAAAAGAAAAATTCAATAAATTGTTCACCGCGCCTGCTCTACAGTTTTGGAGAGTAAAAAATGTGTGCATTTGAATTTCAAGACCCGCGGCGCGGGGGCGCGTGACTTAATTATCAAAACTTTACTCACGGACGCTATAGATCTACTGAGAAAAGGGAGGGGGGGGGGGGGAAAGGCTAGGAAAATGGAATCCCCCCCCCTCTTATAAAATCTTTCTCTCTAAATAACTAATAAAATTTAATCTGGTGTAAACACTTTCAGGTTTTAGTTTATATTAAACACTGTTCTAAATAAACTGTTATATTTCCATAGAGAAGAGTGGGCAGGGGGGGGCATGGTTTTAGAGTGCCCTAACCACCCCCCCCCCTTCCTGCACACCAAACCTAATGATATGCAAGTTTAAGTATAGATTAGGTGTGAAGCACGTAGGATAATAATTTAATATTGTAATGCTTTCAAGTTTTTAAATATCATTGTGTGAGTTCAACAGGAAGCTATTATTAAGTCAGAGTATCAGAGGTCATGCCAAAAAAAAAGGCAACGAATTTTCCATGGATAATACAAAAATGAACCCACAATTCTTTTTTATAAATATAAAGTCCATTGTAGTCTTTGCACTGAAAATAAACATCCAAATTAAAAAATATTTTTTAATGAACTGTCAACTAAAGCTGTCATCACCGTTGGCCTTGTTAATCTCCACTGACTTTTTGATTTTCACACTGTCAAAATAATTTAAATTCAGTAAATGTTGAGCTTTGTGCAAATCCTCGCTAAACCTCCCAATTTTTCTGAGTGCTGAGTGCTGAGTGCTGTGTGCTGTGTGCTGTGTGCTGTGTGCTGAGTGCTGAGTGCTGAGTGCTAAGTGCTAAGTGCTGAGTGCTGAGTGCTGAGTGCTGAGTGCTGAGTGCTGTGTGCTGTGTGCTGAGTGNGTGCTGAGTGCTGAGTGCAAAATACGGATTTGAGATTTAGTTACTGAACTTTCAACAAGATCGTCTTTATCATTTTTATCGATAAATATGCAAAACTTATAATAAAAAATATTTTAAAAATAATATTTTGTTTCTAAAACTTTTTTTATTTTCAGGAGGCGATCAATATTTGGCGGTAAAATTCCCTCTTCGTTACCGCCATCATGTCTCCAGGTATGCAGGGTTACCCACAAAATATGAGACTCTAAAGACGATCTGAAACTCTTAGATAAAACGATCGTAAGGTTGAGTTAAACCACCTTCCTTTAATTAGTCTTTTAATGATTTATTGATTGGGCAAAGCAAATAGATTCTAGTACAATAGATGTCAACGTAGATTGTACACTCTCAGTACAGCTGTATTCTGACGTCACACAAGTGTCAACAGTTTTGGTTTTATGTGTCCAAAAAAACATTAATAACAGTGATAATTAAGTGCTTATCATACAATGAAATAAGCGCAATTTTGAGTTCTTTATTTTCTGTTTTACACTTTTTTATTTAATCTTTGGTAACATGCGGAACCATGTCAACTAATGGGAGAAAGTTGTGTCTTCCTTGTTATATTTGACACTTGTGACGTCGATTTCTCTGTTGCCACCTATCGTACTTGATAATCTATTTTGGGCAACGCAGAAAGAAGTCTATTGCTGCAGGGAATCATAAAAATAAGGAATCAGACAGTTTCATTTTTTACAGTCGTCTCTGAAATGTCATCCTTTGTGGGTAACTCTGTATGTTATTATTAAAACTGTTCTCTGGGGGGTTTAAACGATCAATTTAATGATGAAATAATGAGAAGAAACTTTAATCCATGCTCTCAGAATTAAATTATTTTCTTGTTTTAAAAGAATTACAGTCCTCATGATAATATTTATTTATAAAGTATATATAAAGTCTAAATAAAGCTTTAGTAAGGGAATAATTGTATACATAAATATACAATGTAAGCACTGTAAGAAGTGCAGTTTAACCCTATTCCTGCTGGGGGGTGGGGGTCAATTTGACCCCCCCCTGTAGTTTTTTTTACATAACTCAAAAAGAATTGGTCTGAGGCTGTTGAAATTTTCTGACTTTTCTTACATTCCCAAAACCCTCCCTTTAGGCCTAAAATACTAACTGCCTGAGTCCTCAGGCACACTACCTGAATGACTGATTTTGCCTGTAACAAACTAAATCTTTGTTTTGACCCAATACGTAATATAGTATAAAACTCATTGAAAAATTGTCAAGACGACATTTGATAAATTCTTCCGATGTATTCGTTATTAAGGGTTTCACTGTAACTCGTGCCGGTAACATTGTAAACTCCGGTACCGGGTCGACTTTAAAACAGCTAGAGCACAGTCCGGTACACATACATGCTACATAAGGCAAAGCGGGACAGTGCAACAAATGAATCACCAACTTCTAGTGAAATTGTCACACAATGTCACACAAATAGATTATCAAGTACAATAGGTGGCAACAGAGAAATGAACCAATAATAAACGACATCATAAATGTCAAATATAACCAGAAAAATGAAATTTTCTCACGTTAGTCAACATGTTTATCAAGATTAAATAAAAAAGTTTAAAAACAGAAAATAATGAATACATTTAATTGCACTTATTTTACTGTAAGATACGCACATTATTAAAAAACTATCACTATTATTAATAATTTAGTCGGACAAAAACTGAGTTACACTTGTGACGTCAGAATACAACTGTACTGAGAGTGTACAAATTCTACGCTGCCATCTATTGTACTAGACTCTATTTGATGTCATATAACTTTAACCTTCTTCTGTTGAGTGAATTGGTAAATGTAAAACATGCCTAAAAAAGAATACTATTTTATGAAGCTACACCATTCAGATTGTCTTTTTATGCTCTTCCTAAAAATAAAATTATACAGGACCAGAGCGTACATAGCCCAGCTGTGTGTATGTACACTCAGTACATTACTTGCTATACTCTGGGCCCTCGCCCCTCCTCCAAACCCAGTCTGGAGATCGTGCCCACCAAACCAAACCAGGTAAATTATCAGCAGATTAGTCAGCTGATTTTAGTTAGCTGATTGAATTCGGCTGATTGGAGTAAGATGATTTGTGTCAACTGATTGGAGTCAGCTGATCGAAGTCAGCTGATTTAACAACTGATTGGAATTCAGCTGATAAAAGTCAACTGATTTTAGTCAGTTGATTCGAGCCAACTGATTGAAGTGAGCTGATTGAAGAAAGCTGATTTGAATCAGCTGATTTGTGTAAACTGATTGAAGTTAGGTCTGCTGATTTCTATTTCTATGGCTCCATGTATTTTGACATTAGTTGTTTAGAAGTTATTTTTAAACAATGTTGTAACTCTTGTAACTTGTAAAGTTGTACATTGATGTTGTTGATGATGAATTTTTAAAATGTAAAATGATCTTATTTTGTTTCTAGAATTGGTATTCTGACCGGCCTATGTAGCTGTCTTACTATCCTTCTATCATTCATCCTTCCTACCCTCACACTTACAGTTATATATTGCAAGATATTTACCGAGGTAAGCCTTAAAGGTAGTATTTGGAAATTATACAAACAGTTTAGAAAGGACTCACTATAAACTCCGGTTTACTTCAAGTACCTAACTGACTTTTAAGCAGTTAGAGCAAGATGTACAGTACAAATACAGACTATTTAAGGCAAAACGGGAGAGTACACCAAATGAATCAGTATCAGACTGTGCTACACACTAAACTAAGCTAGTGGGGTGGGTAAAATATGCCTTTGAAAGGCCAGGTACTGTAAAAAATCTGGCCGCCCCATCAAAGTTGAAACCCGGTCGACATTGGATAGGGGCTGGGCAGTACTTTACGCGCGTCACTAAGGCCAGTACAAGGGGTCGATCCGGTTCAAATTCAAATTGACCCTAGTCCACCGTAGCTTAGAATATGAATTAATTGGTGGTATGGGTATTTTTTAGAAATTCTTTGTCTGAGCTGCGTGATGGATGTTTTTCAAAAATAATCAGAATAAAAAATATCGATATCATCAAAAGAAACATAATTTATACCTATTTGAGGTAAAATGAAATTTTTAATTTTTCTTCCAATTCCCTTTCGGAATTGATATTCTGCATGCGTGTGAGTTGTTGAGATATATGGAGCACTTGAATTAGGAATATGCAGTATAATGCAACATCAAGCCCTGCATTTCCAGTACAAAATTTACAATTTAGAGGGTTGCAGATATACGAAATTTGCATTGTACAGTGTACAGTGTACAGTGTACCGTAAACACTTTATACATAAATATCCTATTCCTGTTTACATAAAAACGTACAACTGTCGTAAACGTCAAATTTTACTGTGCATAAATTTTGTTTATACTACAAAGATAAATGCCGCAAGTTAATTCTAAGATCAAAGACGACTTTGAAGTCATCAATCAATTTACATTATTTCGGAGTCCGAGTTTAATGAATTTGAGCCGCGTCTCCAATCTACCAAAAACCGATTTCAATTGAGCGCCGGTGTGATGCCTGGAGAGAACTCGTACACCGGCTTAAATCTTGAAACATTGAATTTAAGCCGCGGCTCAAATTCTTTAAGTTATACCTAAGATTATCACTGCAAAAGCTTTAAAACTATTCTCACATTTTCTCTACTATGAAGCAGACCATCTATCTTACCATAATTGCTAACTTGTAAAGTAGTAATTACTTTTTATCTGCTTTTTAATGGCCATGACTTATGAACCCCGAGTTGCCTCAACTTTTGATTAGGGAACTCGGTAAAACAACGGGAATGTTATTTTCTTGGTTTAAACATTATTAAGATCACTAGGCAAAAATAGGCTCCCAAGCATAGTATTATATAAATTTGATGTTGATATATCATCAGTTATCGAATGCTGCTTGTTAATTTGCCCATGTTTATTCTGCCGCTCTCTATCTAAAATCTGTTTTTTATCCAATTAATTAACAGCGAGTGAGTTCTTCAGATGGTTTATCATTCTTTTTAAAATAAAATAACAGTTTTTTAAAGTTTAGAAGTTTTGCAACCTTTCTTTAATTTTATCACATTTATATACTAATAGCTGAAGGAACCAGCGTTGCCCGTGAAATTAAAAAAATTTAAAAAAAATTTGTCAAAAAAAAGTTCGAAATTTGTTAGCCAATGAAAACCCCCGGACACCCATGAGTGTCCACAAAAAATTCAGCGTATTCGGTCCAGCCGTTTGGTCGGCCGAAAGGAACATATATATGAATGTCTTGTTTTATTATATAGAAGAAACATCTTTCTGATTGGTATTACGCCATTTTCATGTATTTTTCGTTGTATTTTATGATTCAAAATCCCAATTTTTTAAATTACTACCTTCAACCAGTTTTCTAACATTGAAAAGCTTCATGACCAAGAAAAGAAAAAATTTCGAAATTTGAAAAGGTAATATTGAGCACATTTAACTTTTTGAAAAATCACCGTCATATTTTTCTACAAATTACACACCTTCAACTTTATTTTCATTTCTACCGGTTTCGGTGGAAATTGCCATTTACTTGGAAAATATGTGTTCAATTAATGTCAAAACTAATTTCTTAAGAGAGAGGGAGGGAAGGGAAAAGAGCAATTTACTTTAGTTTGGCGTGACGGGACAACAACAATCTCTTGTGCGATTTACTTCGTCAGGCTTCGACATCCGTCTTGTGTTTACATTACCGCACAATGACAGTACACTGCAGAGCCCAAAACTTAAGACAGGGTATCGTTCTGAAAACTCGTTCTAAAACCCGAGTTTCACGAATGGGGTTAGGCAGTTTTAAGAATATTAATATTTTTGTTTTGTTCAACGATACTCTTTTAAATTTCGGGCTCAGTACTAAAGATGCGTACACTTTCCTTGCATTAAATCCTTGATCCATACAAGTTATATTCAATATTAATCATATAAAGCGAAAAAATGATTGGCTTTCTATAAACCGACAAAAGAATTAGAAAGTCTACATCTTTTGGGTATTACATATCTATTTAAAAGTTGGACTTTTGAAACTAGACAACTAAATATCACTGTCTCGGAAGAACTTTGTAATGTTTATTGTATATTGTACACTGTGCAGTACTAAATGCTCATATATCACAACTTACAATTGCTTATAGTTTTAAAACAATGAATTCTGCATTTGTTGACTTCATCTATGCAAAGGAATTGAGTTTTTGCCACAAACTCGGATTTTCTAATCCCTATATCTTTGCAACCCAAAATCGTAGATTATAGAAGTTCATTTATTGCTTCTAGATGTAAGTACATCATAAATAACGAGTATACAAAGGAGAGGAAGTAGAGTAGGTCTTCTCTGGTTCCAGGATTCGACACTACTGATTTGCGGATTTTATAATCCTCTTTCGGGGATTTATCCTCTACAATACCTTAGATATTTCAAACTATGAATTATGTTACTTCATAATTTAGGTACATAACACTTCTGTGATTAATGCGAATAATAATTCAGTTATTTTTGGACACATCAACTATGTAATTTAGGCACATAAAAACTCTATAATTTAGGCACATAAAAACTCTGTAATTTAGGCACATAACAACTCTATAATTTAGGCACATAAAAACTCTTTAATTTAGGCACATAAAAACTCTGTAATTTAGGCACATAAAAACTCTGTAATTTAGGCACATAACAACTCTGTGAGAACAAGAAGAAACAGTTTAAACCCGTCAGAAAACCTGTACAGTCTAACTTCAACCATGGTTGCCCCTTTAACCATCTCTCAATCTGACCTGAAGAAAATAAACAGGGTTCAATCCTTCTCACATTCTCCTATATCCAGGTATAGGAAAATACCATTAATTAATTCACACCAAAAAAAATATTAAAAATAATTTAGCAACATTTAACTTTTATTTCAATTGCAAAACTGGGCCCTTTAAGATTTTAATTTGAAAAATTATTTTCTGTCTATTTCATATTTTGATTCATTTTTGTATTCTGGAATAAAATTTTGACATAAAACGCTATTTTTAATATGGCGTTTTCGATGTTTTGTAACATCTCATTCAAATATTGATAAAAAAGAAAGTTTACCCATGACCATACTTTAATTTTAAATAAAAATTTTGAATTAAAAAACAGAAAAATTACGATTTTACTTTCTTAATTTGGGTGACATTTTTACTTTTAAAAAATACTCAAGTGTTGTTATTTATCTAAAAAAAACTAAATTTGATGCCTAAATACAAAATTTAATTAAATAATAAATTAAATAAAAACTAAAGTTTTGCTAATTATTTAAACAATTTCCTTTAAAATGATATATCCTGTGTGCAGGTCTGAGCCCCTTTTAGTGAGACAAGGATCTTTACATCATGTTCATCGTTCTCCGACACATCTCAAGGTACAAGCGTCGACTTAAAGGGACTGTACGCGTAATTTCAAATGACGCTACTTGTAAAGAGGGGAATGCCAGATTTACAACGACAACCTTAAAAGCTTTGACTGATAATCGACGTCAGATAACTCTGTGTGTATGTTTCTAAACTTATGTTCAAGTTGCCAAAAAATGCTTACAGTGTGTGTACAGGGTGTTAAAAAAATAACAATTCCCATTTTTTTCTCTCACAGGCTTAATTATTACCTAATTATAATGAAATTTTTATCCCAGTGTTTCCAGGATGTTTATAGGACTCCATGGTTAAAAAAATATTGGATATGGTAAACCCTGGTTTTAAATCTGACACACCAATTTATAAATGGAGGATCTGTTGAAATTTTATATCTCATCAAAATCAAAATCAAGTGTTAGCCATTAAAAATAAGTGCATTTGCATTTTTGTATGTATTTGAAAATTATACGTTGTAATTATGTCTCATCCTGGAAAGTAAAGTTCAGATTCAGGTGTCAAATTTGTTAACAAATGCTTTACATATATATTTACATGCATTATCCATCTTCCCGTAACAAGGGCAAAAGTAATTCAAAAAAGAAATTTTTAACATTTTTATTTTATAACGAGAGAAGACATTTTTTGTGACAAAATAGTGTTCTAAACATTCCTTCCCTGAGAAATGAGGTTGCGTGATTATTGGGAATTATATTAGGTTCAGGGCATACAGGGTGTCCCACCAAACATGATAGTTGATGAATAGTTTAGAATCTCATCTTCTAAATACTGAAGTAGATTTAAAGCCTTTTTGCAGTTTAGTTTAGAAAAATCTTTTACTCCAATATATCTTAATCAGCTGGATCGATTCTACTATAATAAAACTGCCATGTAATGTTTATTATTATTCTCTTTGGTATCAAACAAATCAAAAAAATTATGGTTGAATACATTTTAAAATATTCAGCAACTGTCATGTTTCCTAGGACACCCTGTACTAACTATAAAGATTTTGTTATGAAAAATTCGAATTCGAATTCTTATATCTCGGCAATCTGATGACCTTGCCCTTTAATATTTCAAGCCATAAATAATACTAGATCAAAAAGTCAAGGTTGAAAATAAGAAAGAAAGAATCTTTCGATGACGAGAATTTTTGCCATGAGAATTTTTTTTTGCTGTTTTAAAGGTTCACTTGGGGGGACACATAGACAGGATTAGATGATATAGATATGAATATGGATATGGGGAATGGGTATGAATTTGGATTAGATATATGAATTTATCTTTGGTTTAAGCCATTGTGTGTCATAATTTAATTAAAACGGTTTTTAAACTTTCATACTTTTGATGAGAACGATTTTTTTATTTTATTTTTTTCAGACAAATTTGAACCAGCTGAGGCATAGAATATCCAACGCTAGCCAGGGACACAATCTACAGATTTACATATTGTTTCCCTGCCACAATTAAACAACTTAAAAACTGTGCACAGGGTGAGTCAATACAAAAGTTTGATTTGTGCAATATCAAACCTTTCTTTTTGCACTTTACATTTTCGATAGATTGAAAATATTTTTTTGATTTTTTTCTCGAAGGTCGAGAAAAAAAAACCCTGAAAATCGTATTAAATATGAATGCAATTTATTGTACAGTCGGCCATAAAATAAGGTATTTGAAACTTAAATATTATCAAAAATCTCCTCCATTCTTTAAAGACATTTCACTGCTTTAATTCTATTAATCCATCTTCATTAATAGCCTTGCTGAAACAATAAAACCAGAACTAATCCATCTTCATTAATAGCCTTGCTGAAACAATAAAACCAATCCATCATCATTAATAGCCTTGCTGAAACAATAAAACCAATCCATCTTCATTAATAGCCTTGCTCAAACAATAAAACCAATCCATCTTCATTAATAGCCTTGCTCAAACAATAAAACCAATCCATCTTCATTAATAGCCTTGCTGAAACAATAAAACCAGAAATAAAATTTCGAATTTATAACCTTAATTTTGCGAATTTTTACATTTCTGCGCAGCCCATCTTTATGAAATAATATTTTTAATCATCCTTATTTTTCTTTACTTTTGGTTTCGAGAAGAATAAATTCTTGTAGATTATAAAATAAATATCTCTGAGTTGGTCCATCACACTTTTTTTTACTACCCCTGCTAATTAGATTTTTTTTGCGTACTGGCATTGTTGTTCTAAAAGTGAGTTTGCAAAATTATTTTTAACATTTTCTAAAGGAAGGAAATTCGTAGCGTAGCTTTTATTTTAAACTGACTTATGTTTTATCTATATCAAAAAAGCCCAGAGAGGCGACATTTTTGCACCTTCATTCAGTAGCTTTAGCGCGCTTAGGTGGTTTCGATCTCTCGGTTTAGCGCTGTCCTAAACAAAGTTTCCCACGCCCTGGTTTAGTGAAAAAGACTCAGATTTAGATCATCAAAAAATTTTCGTCTGAAATTGTCTGAAATCCAATATTTAAAAAAAAAATCCCAACCAAAATTAATTGAATTTAGTTTAAACATTCGATTTCAAAGATCTATCAAATAGTTTGATTTCATGATATTTTTCATTATTTGGCCAATATCGGTTTTTCTGTCTTTGAATAATTTAGTGTCTTTGATGGATCTTATGAGAGTTGAATCATTAATGGATTTAAACAACATATTTTGAAAAAGTTCTTGACAAAAATATTTATTCTTGCGTATTTTATGCTTCGTAAAAAAGTTCACTTTTCTGCCTTTTTTTAATTGAATTTTTTTAACTGAAAATCTTACATTAACGGTTTAAAATGAAAAGTTCAACAATATTTCTTTATTTCAATAATTAATTTTTTTAATTCTAAAAAGATAAAAGATTAATGACAACGGTTTCCAATTACTGGTAACTTTTGTTCTCATGATAATATGAATATTTCATGTTTCTCCTCCTCCCCCCCCCCGGTCTTATCAAGAATTCAAATGTCATAGTTTTTAAATTCTAATGAATACTTTATGCTATTTTCTACCAGGAGGTGATTTAAATTCAACTCCGCGCCGATCTAAAGGGAAAAAGTAATATAAAACTCAGTGCGGGCGAAGTTGCAAAAATAGCGCAAATCACAAAGAAGGTCAAAAGGATAAACATTATTTTTGGCGCTCTTCAGTTTTCTGAAGGGGACAATTATATTTGTAAGGGGAGGGAGGCACTGCCCCATGAATATTATAGTTTAACTTTAACTAGGCTATAACGGCACTCTTCGCGTCCATTCTCTATAAATTTTTTAATTTTGACTCTATCTGTGAGCATACATCGTACAATGTAAAACAAAAAATAAAAAAAGTTCGCAGATTTTCGAATATTTTTTCGCGCCTTTTTTTAATTTTACAAAAATCAAAAGCTTTTGGATATAACTTTTTGTAATTCTGAGCATCCATAAACCTTACTTGGGGTCATGCAGGTCCCACACAAAATTTGGGCCCGATCGGTTCAGCCGTTTTGACGTTTATTTGAAAGACAGACAAGCAAAGTATATATATAGAAGTGTAGATATGTCTGTAGATAATGCACAGAGAGGAGGGAAGAACTGCACGCCTCTACACCTTTACATTAGCCAGTATACTTATCTGCTGGTCTCCATACTTCATTTATTCAGCAGCCAGGTATATATTAGAAACTGCAGCTGTACTGCATACTAGTTGTTCATGTAAAGGTTAATCCCTGTAATTATGTTTATGTACAGGTTAATTCCTGTAATTATGTTTATGTACAGGTTAATTCATGTAATCATGTTTATGTATAGGTTGATTCCTGTATTCATTGTTTATGTACAGATTTATCTTTGTGTTTATTGTTAATGTACAGGTTTATGGCCATAGAGAATAGAATATATATAGAGAGGAATTTACTAGAAAAAAGTGTAAAACGGCCATTTTGTTGTACTGTTTCCATACTGCAGGTGTACTTCACATATTTGTGCTATATAACCTGTTGGGCCCTGGAATATCATTTTATTGAAAATCTAAAATTATTGTTAAAAGAAACCCAAATTATGAAATAGGCTGGTTTCATAATTGACCAATGATCATTTCACATAGACTCTATGCCTTCCACTTTACAAACGATGATTTTCCGTTATAATTATAAATCAAATGATGTTTTTATTCACCTCATTCATAATAAAGTTTATTTAACAGTTTAAAAAATTCGAAATTGAAATGAATAGTCTAGGGAACATACTGTATTAATGTACTCTACTGCATATAATTTGTGAACATTTACATGATTTGTACACTTTGAACTCCCTTTCAGGCTGAAAGGGACTGAAAAAATTCATACCAAGAGATTCTTTTAATTCCTCTCTATAAATTCTATTCTCTATGTTTATGGCGTCAAACCTTAAAGAAATCCAACGTATAGAAACTGCTACGTATAGCAACATGGCGTATTTTCCGGGAGAACATTTTTTTTATATTTTTGAGAAATTAAATAATCAGTGTAAAGTAGATTTAGTTTTGATAAAATCCTTTTATTTAAATGGTAAAACGGAATTTTATGAAATCATATTAGCACTATTAGAAAACTTTTTTATACTTTTAAGAATTTTTACCAAACCTCAAATGTACATATTAAACTATTTTGCTCCTTTAATGTCTAGGGTATGTTAAAAAAATAGAAATTATGATAATGATAATGATAAGCTACAATGTTTTACAAAAACGTTTACTTTCTCAAAAATATAAAAAATGTTCTCCCGGAAAATACCCCTTGTTGCTATACGAAGCAGTTTCTATACTTTGCATTTCTATAAGGTTTGACGCTATTGTTTATGTACAGGTTTATTTTTGTGTTCATTTTTATGTACAGGTTGATTCCTGTACTCCTTGTTTGTGAACAGGTTTATCCCTGTACTCATTGTTTATGTACAAGTTTATGTACAGGTTTATTCCTTTACTTATTGTTTATGTACAGGTTGATTCCTTTATTCATTGTTTATGTACAAGTTGATCCCTTTATTCATTGTTTATGTACAGGTTTATCCTTGAACTCATTGTTTATGTACAGGTTGATTCCTTTACTCATTGTTTATGTGCAGGTTTATCCTTAAACTCATTGTTTATGTACAGGTTTATCCTTGAATTCATTGTTTATGAATAGGTGGATTCCTTTACTCATTGTTTATGTACAGGTTTATCCTTGAACTCATTGTTTATGTACAGGTTGATTCCTTTACTCATTTTTTATGTACAGGTTTATCCTTGAACTTATTGTTTATTCACAGGTTTATCCTTGAACTCATTGTTTATGTACAGGTTGATTCTTGTACTTATTGTTTTAAACTGAATGATCTTTTTATTGTTTATACACAGAATGATTTCCGTGTGTATTGTTTACGAACAGGTTGATCCTTAAACTCATTTTTTATGTACAGGTCGATTCTTAAATCAGAAATTTAAGAGAGTATCGTTGAACGAAACTCTATACTGAATTCGTTACTATAAAATGTTGATCCGTTCTTGCCCCTTGATCCTTTTCTGTCCTTGATCATTTCCTGCCTCTTAATCCAGCTCTGCCATTGATCCGTTCCTGTCTACCTTTGATCCGTTACCCCCTATCTGTTCCTACACCTTATCTCATCTGTCCCTACACCCAATCTGTTCCTAGTCTTACACCCTATCTGTTCCTGTACCCTATCTGTTCTACACCCTATCTGTTCCTGCACATTATATGTACCTACACCTAATCTGTTCCTACACCTTATCTTATCTGTTCCTACACCCTATCTGTTCCTACACTTTATCTGTTTCTACACTTTATATGTACCTACACCCTATCTGTTCCTACACCTTATCTGTTCCTTCTACTTATCTGTTCCTACACTTTATATGTACCTCCACCCTATCTGTTCCTTCACCTTATCTGATCTGTTCCTACGCTATGTATGTTCCTACACCTTATCGGATATGTTCCTACACCCTATCTGTTCCTATACCTTATCTGTTCCTACACTTTGTATGTACCTACACCCTATCTGTTCCTACACCATATCTGTTCCTACACATTGTATGTACCTACACCTTATATGTTCCTACACTTTATATGTACGTACACCTTATCTGTTCCTACACTATGTTCCTACACCCAATCTGTTCCTACACCTTATCTGATCTGTTCCTACGCTATGTATGTTCCTACACGCTAACTGTTTCTACACCTTATCTGTTCCTACACCGAATATGTTCCTACACTTTATATGTACCTACACCCTATCTGTTATGTTCCTACACCCTATTTGTTCCTACACCCTCATGTGTTCCTACATCCTATCTGTTTCAACTCCTTATCATATGTCCCTATGCTTTATAACAAATGTGTTCCATATCACCCTAATATCAAAATCTACTTTCTAGATTGGAACTGTAGATGATGAAGCTGCAGGACTACCTCCTGCGAGGAAGAAGGTTGGAAGGAGTATATCTATGAAGGAAGGAGGTCGAGGAGGAAGGAGAGAGCTTTCAGGGGTCAGGGAGGTTCTGGAGGCAGAGATCGAGGGGGAGGAAATGCTGATGGGGGGCAGCGAGGGACTGGAGAGAAGAAGGGATCTCCGGGGTAATGGGAGAATGCTAGGAGGTGTGGGGGGTTTAAGAGGAGATCTAGGAGACGTGGGGAGTATGAGGGGTGAGCTAGGGGATGTGGGGAGTATGAGGGGTGAGCTAGGGGATGTGGGGAGTATGAGGGGTGAGCTAGGGGATGTAGGGAGTATGAGGGGAGTTCTAGGGAAAGGATGTATTGTGGGAAGAGAAGGACAAGTTCTGCTAATCACAAGATCTACAAGGTAAGCCTCTTAATTTTTGATTGTTTTATCAATTTTATCAAATCAGGGGCATTTCTATCATTTAGGAAAAGATTGCTGATGCCAACGAGGATTGCATAGTTTTTTAGTCTTTAATATTTTTGAATAATTAGACAAAAAAAAATTATTATATGTGTACTTAAAACCCATAAAATCTTTTCTTATATTGTATACAGATTTGTGAAAAAGTTATATTTTTAATTTCTGTATTTAGATCTTCTTTCTCGAGTACTACAACCAACTCATCCACTTCCACGCATGCAGGACTACCCTTAATTCTTCGATACCCTAGACTCGAAGCTACATGCTGAACTATACCCTTGACTCGAGGCTACATGCTATACTATAATCTAAACTCGAGGCTACATGCTGAAACATAGCCTATACAAACAAAGGCTACATGCTGAACTATGCCCTAGACTCGAGGATACATGCTGAATTATATTCTAGACTTGAGACTACATGTTAAACTATATCCTTGACTCGAGGCTACATGCTAAACTATATCTTTGAATCGAGGCTACGTGCTGAGCTATATTCTAAACAAGAGGCTACATGCTGAACTATATTCTAGACTAGAGGCTACATGCTGAACTATATCCTAGACTCGAGGCTACATGCTGAATTATATCCTAGACTCGAGGCTACAAGCTGAATTATATACTAGACTTGAGGCTACATGCTGAAAATTACATATTGTTTATCCTAGACTCGAGTCTAAGATCTGAACTATATTCTAGACTCGAGGCTAAATGTTGAAGTAACCAATTCCTAATCCTAGACTCAAGTTACATACTGAATTTTATCAAATCCAATTATGAAAACCAAATCCTGCAAGTTTAGATTATTTGTAAATTTGTTTACTTATTTTATACACACACATATATATATATATGCACTTTAGAACAGTTTACAATATCAATGTACAATACAAACATATACTCTAAATGTGAATTGTAAAAATATAGTTTTGACAACTAGTTAATGATTTTTAATAATGTGTACATTTATATAAGTATAGTTAATTCCGACAAATTGATGTCATTAATTAATTAAAATAACAGATATAGGACACTAGATGTCGTCTTTTCAAGATTTATAAGTATTTCATTCGCAATAACCCTAAGAAAAAAGACCAAAGGAGTTACGCGTAGTCGGCGTAGAATAGGCTCTTTCTCTGTCTTTTTAAAAATCACAATAATACAGTTACAGATAAACAATACTTGAGTAGAAAATTATAGAACATTATCAATGTGTCTCTTTAATTGATGGCTTTGTTTGTCTAAAATTTTCTCATGTTTTATTCTAACCCGACACATAGAATTCCTTCTGTTACTCCTGTTACTTTTGTCATACTGTACTGTACAGTGTACGTGCATTGTATATGTATTTATGTAAATGAGAATAGTTATATTACTCTTAGATATGATAATTTGATTTGTACATACATATATAATATATATGTGTTATCCAGGGTTACTTATAAAGAATGAGACTTAAAAGACGACTTTGCAGATTTTCTGTTAACATGGTTGAAAGCTAAGGTTTGCAGCAAAAAAGAAAAATCATATCGCGAAAATTTTCGCATTTTTTGCATATCGCTCGCGAAAAATGCGAAAATGCTCGTTTTTTTCGCAAAGTTTCGCTTCAATCTGTATGCGAAAAAATTATAAGAAATTACAAAAAAGGGGCTTCGTTTTTGCATTTTTCGCTTCATGTAATTTCGCGAAAAAATGCGAAATTTCGCGAAAAAATTTGCGAAATGCGAACGAAATTTTTTTCCATTTTTTTCCATTTTGTTCGCTGCAAACCCTACTGAAACCCCAAATAAAACTGTACACTTTTTACCCCGCATCAATTATTACAAATATTTCAGATTATGTTTAAATTAAATTAATTAATTATTTAACATTAAAGTCTCATTCTTTGTGGGTGACCCTGCAATGCAGTGTATACTCACCAAAAGAACCTTGCACTCGACAGCACTTTAGATAATTGTAAATTGTAACCATGTTTTAAATAAATGCATTTCTATTGAAATATATCAAAAATTTGATGTTTTCTATTCAGTTTTTTTCCAAAAATTTTAGAAATATTTTTCAAGTTACAATCTTGTAACTCTACGTAAAAAGAATATTTTGATAACAACATGTTTGAAAATACACAAAAAGAACAATTTTTATTGATAGTTTAGATACATACTGTAAAAATGTTTTTAAATATTTGGGACATTTTTTTCGAACATCAATTTTTACAATTTTTACAACGGAAATCATGAATAAGAAAACTGAATGAAGTATTATTTGCAAGAAAATATTAGCAAATACTTGATTGATGATCAATGGCAATAATAGTAAATATCTTATCCTGTGCAAAAGTGTCCTAAACATCAAGATTGACCAATAAACTTTGAATTATCACATAAAGAATAAATTAATAATTTCGAAACATGAATGTATAAAATAGATAAAAGAAAGAATGAATATATGACTGAAACAAACAAAGAATGAATAAAAAGATAAATAAAAAGATTAAATAGGTTGATGAAAGAATGAATGAAAGGATGAATGTAAAGATAAATAGGTTGACGAAAAGATAAATAAAAAGATTAATAGATTGATGAAAGAATGAATGAAAGGATGAATGTAAAAATGAATAGATTGATGAAAAGATAAATAAAAAGATGAATAGGTTGATGAAAGAATAAGTAAAAGGATGAATAGGTTGATGAAAGGATGAATATAAAGATGAATAAGTTGATGAAAGTATGAATGAAAGGATGAATAAAAGAATGAATGAATATACCACTATGAAACCGATTAAGCTGGACTGCAGTGGAATGATTAAGGTTATTAATATGTTAATTTCAGCACTTTACAACCTAAAGAGGGTCCATAGAGTCTATACACACAATATTCATTAATTTTATCAAACACACACACATTCATCCAAAGGTTGCAAGCCAAAGAAGGTCCATATAGTCTATAAACAGAATTATCATTCATTTTATCAAACACACACTGGTGACAAGATTGATAAAAGGGAGTGTTCGTGAAAAATGAAAGGGGGGTATAGGCTCACGTCGAAAAATTATCGATGGTGATCGCTACTAATCTTATTTCTATCTGTTGCGTCTATAAGGAGAAAATGACTCTTACCGAAGAATATAGCGTCCATACAAATTCAGATAGTTTCAACATTCGACTCAGATAAATCAATTTAATTTCAAACAGATCATCAGACCTATAATCATCGATATATCGACGCATCGTATATAGTTAATATTTCATGTTTTACTAGACTAAGTGGTAAACAAAATGGTTGGTAGACATAAAACTTAAGTAATTTTCATTAGGAAATCATTGAGACAATCTTAAAACAATCATTTATAAATTCCTTAAAAGCTCCAATAAACAACAACTTTATTTAGCATATTGAACACACATAACAAACAATAAACAACAACTATTGAACACACATCAAAAACAATAAACAACAACATTATTTAGCATATTGAACACACATAACAAACAATAAACAACAACATTATTTAGCATATTGAACACACATAACAAACAATAAACAACAACTTTATTTAGCATATTGAACACACATAACAAACAATAAACAACAACATTATTTAGCATATTGAACACACATAACAAACAATTTAAACTTTCATATTTGGCAAGCACAGACTTTTATAATATTAACTAGCTGGAGGAAAAAAAATTCCGTGTTACCCCTTTGGCTACACATGAGTGTCCACACAAAATTTCATTCTATTCGGTCCAGCCGTTTGATGACTGGCAATCTGAGAGTGTATTTTAGAATCTTAAAATGTGATTAAGTGAATGACAAAATAAATTTTTAAAATGTTTATTTGATACAGACATTTTGTTATATAACATATAAAAACAAAAGTAAAGATTTTAAAATTATGTGAAGAACCCCCCCCCCATTAGGCTAAATCAATCGTTAAGGCCCTTTACATGAGCTGATTTCTAAGGGTTTGCTGATCTAACTTCCAAACCAGTTTCTCTCTTCAAAAAAGGATTAAAAGTGGAACAAAGAGATTGAGAACATTTCTTTTCCAAGTATAGGAGGACCCTTCAGTTACCAGGGTGTCAAAAAAACGTTTACGAAAATGGATACATAGTTTTAAAGTACAGAGTACGAATCTAAAAGTTACTTATTTGAGGAGCCCTTTAAACAATAGATAAACAGTAACATACATGTGCCACATGCTTAAAGGAATTTTGTCTTTGCCTCAGACTCAAATATTCTAATCACTATATCTATTGAACCTGATGTTGTAGACTTTTAATATTTCAAACTAAGATAATTTGATGCAACAAATTCATAGTTTGAAATATCTAAGGTCTACGACATTGGGTTGCAGAGATATTTGAATTATAAAATTAGAGTTTGTGTCAAAGAATCCACTCCTTTGTCAAAGCTAAGAGTGAATGTGTTTGTTTATTTTTTGCAACATACTTTTAGAATTTTCTAGAAACCTCCATTGAAAAACTGGGTTTTGAACATGTATAGCAACTACATATTTTTACTCTATTAGCATTAAGTTGAGCTAATTTCGCATAATTGTAAAAAGAAACAGCAAATAAAACTCTAGTTCCCCTTTTTCTGAAAGATGAATACTAAACTCATTGAATTGAAAGAATTGTGCGTAAACTAGTTAAGTTAAAGGGAGTGTTCGCGAAAAATGAAAGGGGGTATAGGCTTAATGCGATAAAAAAGCGCTTTTGATCACTACTAAACAGATAGAAGTAAGATAAGTAGCGATCAAAAGCGCTTTTTTAACGCATTAAGCCTATACCCCCTTTCATTTTTCGCGAACACTCCCTCTAAGCCACTTCTCTTCAACTTAAAATGACGCACTAGAGAATGTGTTCAACTACGTCTCCGCAGCTCAACTAATTCTTGTTATTTTGTAAATAAGACCATTTGGTTTAATTTAGTAATTTTAGATGAAATGCAAAAGGATATATGTATGCATATGTATGTGCATTTTATTAATTCTTTACAACTAATTTACCTCCCCCCCCCCCCCCTGTTCTAGGGTGGCCCTGTAAAAGTTATTCAGAGGTGCACTTTTTCTTTTGAATAGATATATATGAAACTAAGAATAATATTTTTTAATTTTGGACCCTTTTTTCCGGTGCCGCCGGAAAAAAACGTGATTTTGGCCATTTTTGAACTTTATTGGTTTTATTTCTTTAAACTTTTATAGAAACCAAAGTTTTTGACTGAGAATAATGTTTTATAACGTTTTGGAAATCCCAGATAATGGTCTAAAAGATAAGACCATCTAGTTCTAGCCCTAAAATCATCGATTTTATTGATGCGTACTTGCACCTCACTAACATACCCTTAGAACTGAACAAAATTTTTTTTTTTTCATTTACTATTTTGTATACTCATTCTAAAATGTCATTACTTTTTGAAATAACTTCAAAAAATGGTCGATCAATGAACAGTTCAAAAACTCCATTTTTTTAGTTTTTGGAAGATTGTAACTATTTTATAATTTAACGACGTATTTGGACATTTTGAACATGTTCTTTTAAAATGTTCATAAAATACATAGTTTTTGACTTGGAATGTTGTTTGATATCATTTTGGATACTACTTAATCAGACAATATAAATTTTTTTTTATTGTTGAAAACTATTTTATTTTCATGTAACCTTGTTAAAACAGTGTTAGTGTGCTTTTAAACTTTACCCAAATATTTTGCTACACCCTGCATCTGCATTAGATTAGACAATGGTCACAATATCTCAAGTATACTCAAGTCTACTCTTATCCTTGCAGGATAGATTTAACCCTCTAAATCTGGAGATTCAGCAGATTAGGAGATTAGAAATTTGATTAAACATTTTGCAAAGACCACTTTCATGGTACTCCTAATCTTTGCTGGTTCGAATTAAATTATGTGCGTAATTACTTAATGTGCCTCCCCAACTTTAGCTAGCCATTTGTGACAGATAAAATTGTACCGTTTCACTATTTCGTCGGTCAGAGTACTGCAGATCACTGCAGTATGCATCAAAAGCTTCGCTTAGGGTCGTCCAGAATTGTACAGAATTGTACATGTTTGACGTAACGTACAGAACTGTGCAGAATTGTACATGTTTAATGTAACGTAAGAATTGCACAGAATTGTAGATGTTTAATTTAACGTACAGAATTGTGCATGTTTATTGTAACGTACAGAATTGTACATGTTTATAGTAACGCACAGAATTATACAGAACTGTAAATGTTTAATGTAACGTACAGAATTGTACAGAATTGTACATGTTTAATGTAACGTACAGAATTGTACAGAATTGTACAAGGTTTATATAACGTACAGAATTGTTCAGAATTGTACATGTTTAATAAAACATACAGAATTGTAAATGTTTAATGTAACGGCCATCCTTTTTTTTATCAAAGAAAAAAAGTGAGTAGAAGATTAAAGAATTTGGAATAAATGGCATTTCCCCCTTTCTTGAGGATTTTCCTTGGAGATTTTGTAATTTTGTTGCAACTGATATATTTCTAAACATGCTCAGAACTACAGTGACTCTTGCAGTGTGAATATCGAGATCAATGCTACATTTCGATCTTTTGTTAATCCGCAGATTAATTGAATCTTTATTTTGATATCCACTGAATAATTGTACCCGGTAATAAGGGATAACTGAAATAAATATATTAATAATTTGTCCTATCAACCACCCCCCCTTTACTATCCATTCCTTTGACCAGCTTTGTCGCAGATTCTTGAGGTTTTTCATCTTTCATATTTTCATCTTTAAACACAAACATTTCCTAAAATATTTTATATTAATTTAAAGGGACTGTCACTGTAATTCTATGTGAACCAAAAAGTGTTAAAAACAAATCAGATTAACGTCAGTTTTTAGAGGCAGAAAAAGTGAACTAATCTTGGAAGTCAAGAAATCGACGTGAGTTTTTGTCACAAACTCAAATTTTCTAATATTTTTTCCACGCTGAGGATGTAAACCTTTGATATTTCACACTTAGACTATTTGATATCACAGGATTTATAGTTTTAAACATCGAAGGTCTACATTGTGTTTTAAAGAAATATGGATTGGAAAAATCGGAGTTTGCGGCAAAGACTCAATTCCTTTGTTCCAAAACCCACAGAGTGTTACATATACATAACAATATTTTTCCAGTGGCAACAAATTAAATTCTAATAAATAAGATTGCTTATTGTTTAGTTAGATTTGTTGGTGCTCTCATTTTATGACAATGAATTTGCTGCTAAATACCAGCGGGTTTCGAAAGGATTACACACACATATCCCTGTACTCGACGAAGGGTACCGTTGTGAAACCGTTATTGCCATCTTTGCAAGGAGGGTCACATGAAGTTACGCTTACAGTCCCTTTAAAGAATACTGATGGAAGTCGTTTATGACACTCTTTTAAAATTTTCTTTTAATAATTTGTTTAAACATTTTAAACATGATATAATGGTGTTTGTTCAGTTTGTTTTGTTTGGTTGTTTTTCACAAAAAGATTGTAAATCTAAAACTGTCTCTGATTTATTACTCTGTATTACTAAGAATGCTGCTTTATTCTTAAATTCTTGTAATATTGAATGTTTTAAATAGAGTTTCCATTGTTTTAGAATAATTTTAACCGCGTTTTTAAATTTTTCAATCTTCATAATCAGAGCTTCAAATTAGTTTAAGTATCAAGAGCAAAGGCCTGGATAAGAGTTCAATGTAAATGTTGTTAAGTTTAATTAAAACCAAGTAAGATAATGCAGAGATTTTTGTTCAAAGTTGACATTATTCCCGGATGAATAAAGTTTAAAAAAAGAGCAACAAAGACTGAAATTACACCTTTTGTATAAGACAATCTTCTTAATATCTAGTTGGTAGATAATTCTTTAAATATCTCGTTGGTAGATAATTCTTTAAATATCTCGTTGGTATATATCTCTTTATATATCTCGTTGGTATATATTTATTTATATATCTAGTTGGTAGATATTTCTTTATATATCTAGTTGGTAGATAATTCTTTAAATATCTCGTTGGTATATATCTCTTTATATATCTCGTTGGTATACATTTATTTATATATCTAGTTGGTAGATATTTCTTTATATATCTAGTTGGTAGATAATTCTTTAAATATCTCGTTGGTATATATTTCTTTATATATCTCGTTGGTATATATTTCTTTATATATCTAGTTGGTAGATATTTCTTTATATATCTAGTTNCTAAAAGTATACTTTTACAATCTTAAAAAAACGACAATCAAAAGGGGAAAAATTAGTTCTATGAACATTTTTACAAAATACAAATATGCCTTTTAAGTGAAAAAGACCAAAGCTGATGGGAAAGGAAAACATAAAAACATTTTCACTATAGTTTTGATTGTTAACAAGCTTTTTTCGAATTACAAGTTTACAAGGAAAAGCTTTTTTTAATTGACAATTTCTCTGTAAGTGTATCCATGCTGTTTAACATTCTTGATTTAAATCAAATTCAAAAAAAGACGTCTTCATGGTATTGATATAATCGGCTACCACTGTTTATCGTTGGATAATAAAGCAAAAAAAAACCTGTAATAGTTGATATTGTTCTGCATGTCCACATTATCCGGCCTATAAAGATTAACACACTATAGTTTCAGTAGAAGTAAATATTTCCATTTAGTGTATGGCGCCGATACAAGGATTTATCTCTAATTAGATAATCAGATAGATAGAAAGATAGATGTTACTGCCATACTTTTTCTATTGGTTCAGAATTGACAACAAACACATGACTGAACCCTGATTGGATTCTTCTTCGACATTGGGTTGCAAGAATTTTGGGATTAGAAAATCATCGAGTTTGTGGCAAAGACAATTACTTTAGACTGGTTGGGTTTTCTTATTCTTATTTTCACGGGCAGCCGTAGTACATTTGAATTTCTGAGCCGGGTAAACCTTTCCGGTCCCAGTTTGTACTGTATCGCCCGGAAATCAGGTTAATCAATAGGACTAGCCGGTCACGTAAAGTGCATCCTGTAAATATTGGAATATTTATAGTCATATTTTGATCTCTATTTCACAATCCGTCAACAATAGCGTAAACAACTTTACGCACTTAAATATACAAAATATTTAGTCCAACAAAAAAGTATAAAATATCAAATACTAAATATCTTTATTCAATGTGTGAAAATGGAGTCTAAAGTTAAGACTCTCTAGATGTTTAACCGGGACCTCTAGTTGACCGTGCGGTGCAACAAGGTTGACGCGATCAGACTTTAGGTTGAATTTACTTTTACTGAAGGGTCAGGGGTGCGTGTTTTTGCCCAAATCGATATAATTTGCATATATACAATATACTATTTAAAAACTAAAAAACTGAAGATCATTCTAAAATGTTCTCCACTCTTATGAATAAAATTTAAGACAAAAATTTAATTTTTTAAGTTTATGGGTGAAAACTGGGAATACCCCCCCCCCATGTCTATGTATTCATCTAATTTGCCAGTGCTATTTAGAACGGTTTATGTCGTTGGTAAGAATTGTTATTGTTGCAGATATTGTTCTATACCAGAGAGGAAAGTATTATTTATATCAAAGTTGGAAATTGGACTCATCAAAGGGAATAAAGATGTAACTTTAAGTGGTCCTACAGTTAAACCATAAGAAAAATGGAAAGAATGGCAAATGTTGTCTTGGCAATTTTTCAATGGGTTTTATAACATTTTACGTTAATCTCAGTATTTGCGAAAATAAATAAATAGCCATGCATATGCGGGAATAGTTCTTAAGAGCTCCATATAATCATTTAATTAAAAAACTAAATATCTGCAACATTCCATTATCATAAAGTAAAGAATACGACATTTGATGAATTCTTTCGCTGTGTTTGATGGCTTATTTAGGGCTTAACTGTATTAACTGTCCAGCTGAAAATTGGTTGTTTTCAATAATGAGTCAAGAAGGGACAAGCTATCATTCTCTTTTGCAAAGAAATGTATTAAATCTTCTAAACCACGCACCTCTGCCCCTTTAGTTAAGGTAAATTCAATCTATATGAAGCCTCTGACTGCGTCAATCTTGTTGTACCGGCAAGTCCTGTCGATAGAGCAAGGTACAGTACAAACTTGGACCGGAAAGGTTGTACCGGCTCGGAAATTCAACTGTACTACGGCTGCCCGTGAAACATCGTTATCTCTTCCCTGCTGCAGTTCACCCATATGAACACCAACTACACCACCAGGAGCAATATCATGTCTATCATGCCAGGAGAGAAAAAAATATTCCACATATTCCGAGCTACTGCTGAACCAATGATTTATTTGTATTTATTTATAAATATTTTTTTATTTATTTATTTATTCATTCACTTGCATGTGCATTTAATAAATTGTAGAAAATGAACGGAATTCGACACTTTTTAGACAGATAAAAACCTGACGACATCATCCTCAGCCTCACTCATATAACTTAGATAAAGGTTTGACAGGCCCAGTTATGAATTAAACAATATTTAAATATAAACAAACCAATATATAATAAATATAGATGTGAACATTTCAACAAAACTCCATAATTCTTGTATCTTCCTTAGATCCTACAGATAAAATCTAGATTTGGGATTGACAGGAAGAAATATCAAATGTATACAAAGTTGTATCAAGTAAAAAGAACAGGAAGGATCAGGTCAATCAGGGGAACAGGTCGGAACAGGACAAATATTGGAAACAGGACGACTCGGGTCTAAAACGGGCACATGACGAAAATAGGACAAACAAGAAGAATCAGGACAAACAGGGGGAGACGGACGGATATGGTCAAAAATTGGGAACCTAGGACAAACAGGACAAACAGGGGAACAGGACGGATAAGGTCAAACAAGGGGATCAGGAGGAAACAGGACACATATTGGGAAACATGACAAACAGTGGATATGACGAAACAGGACAAACAGTGGATATGACGAAACAGGACAAACAGTGGATATGACCAAACAGGACAAACAGTGGATATGAAGAAACAGGACAAACAGTGGATATGACCAAACAGGACAAACAGCAGATATGACCAAACAGGACAAGGGGAACAGGATGGAACAGGTGAAAAAGTATGACTCAGGTGAAACAATGGGACAGGAAACTTGAGGCAAATCGGTCAAGGGGTTCATGAGTTATGATAAGACAACAAACAAATGACAAACAGAATTACTACTTAATATATTTAGATGTGCATTTAGAGATCTTTAGTTCAGAAGTAGTACTAAGCAAAATCCTGATGTACTGTATATAAATTATAATATGCATTTCTTAGTTACACACTGTGCAATATGTTTATATATAACTCCATCACTATAGTTTTTCAGTAGAAGTAAATATTTCTATTTACTGATAGCGCCGATTGAGTAATTCATAACTCTAATTGGATAATGAGATAGATAGAAAGATAGATATTACCGCCATCCACCATACAATTTCTATTGGTTCAGAATAGACAACAAACACATGACTGAACCCTGATTGGATCAGGCGCTATAGGACTCGGTATACAAGAGTGGGATTGTATATTAAAAACTCTTTGTATCAAATCAATACTTAAATATATTGTTTTGTTTTGATCACAGACAGATTGATGACAGTTTTCTGGACCCTTGACAAACAACATATAATATATACAGTACAATAAATATATATGGATAAAATATATAAATACATTATTCATGTAGATAAAATTTATATATAGATAAAACAGTCAAACAGAGATTATATATAGACTTTATATGTAATAGATAGATATATAATATTTAAAGAATCAGCTTCAAATTAAAACAATATATAATATATATATATTGTGCGACGAAAAAATTATTGCATTTGAAAAGCATACAAATATTTCAATTTATGTTTTTTCAATACAAATTGTTTCTCGTATCATGACTACTCTTCAATATAAAATAGTATCATGACTACTCTTCAATATAAAATAGTATCATGATTACTCTTCAATATAAAATAGTATCATGATTACTCTTCAATATAAAATAGTATCATGATTACTCTTCAATATAAAATAGTATCATGATTACTCTTCAATATAAAATAGTATCATGATTACTCTTCAATATAAAATAGTATCATGATTACTCTTCAATATAAAATAGTATCATGATTACTCTTCAATATAAAATAGTATCATGATTACTCTTCAATATAAAATAGTATCATGATTACTCTTCAATATAAAATAGTATCATGATTACTCTTCAATATAAAATAGTATCATGATTANGTTTCCCCCCTTAAGTAAACAAATGAACCCCCCACCCCTTATTTGTTTGTTTACCTACAGTAAACAAAAAATATCAAACATTTTTTATTATATCTATAATAAAGAAGCAATAATGAAAATAAATATGATCTTCGGAATAAATCTTGAATAAAAAATAATCTATCTTTGATAATAATAAGAAGCCTATTACTTCCGAAAAAACTTACAGTCAAGACTCGTATGAAAGTTATGAATAAAATAATGGCATTACCAATGAAAGTTGTCAGTGTTAAATAATTTTCGTAACATTTTAGATGGGGTTAAATGTCTTGTAATTACAAGTTATTTTTAAAAGATCCATAAAAAAAAAACTTTAATTCCAAATTTTACTGAGATACTATGGAAACCGAGTCCGATCAAAGGTTTCCAACCTAAAGGTTTTCCGACCTAAAAATCGGGTCGTTTTACGGATTTAAATCAACTCCCACTGTTAACTATGTATATAGAGCCCCCTCCCTATCTATCTCCAAACTTAAAAGGGAGTGACCGGCAATGTATGGTTGTTGAACTAAGATTGCAATATAATTATTGAGAATTTTTTAAGGATCCATTTGAGACCTAATCCTCATTGGTTGTCCATTTTGGAGGGACCTAATCCTCATTAATTGTCCATTTTGGAGGGACCTAATCCTCATTAATTGTCCATTTTGGAGGGACCTAATCCTCATTGGTTGTCCATTTTGGAGGGACCTAATCCTCATTAATTGTCCATTTTGGAGGGACCTAATCCTCATTAATTGTCCATTTTGGAGGGACCTAATCCTCATTAATTGTCCATTTTGAAAGGATGATTTTGAGAATCAGTTTTATAAAATTAGAAAAGAAAAATGCAACAAAATTTCCACAGTAATTAGATGTTAAGGACCAACAAACAATAAGGATTTTAAATTTTAAATTTGCGCTCTTGCTAAACAAATATGCACCGTAAAAACGTCTGATAGGTCTCAAATAAATCCTAACAAAGGAATTGAGTCTTTGTCACAAACTCAAAGTTTGTAATCCCTATATCTTTGCAACCTGATTGTGTAACCTTCTGATATTTTAAACTTAGATTATTTGATCCGACAGAATAGTTTGAAATATCTAAAGTATACGACATCGGGTTGCCGAGATATAGGGATTAGAAAATCAGAGTTTGTTGCAAAGACTTAATTCCTTTCTCAAAAATACTGCAATCTCAGCTCAACTACCATACATCTCCGGTCACTCCCTTTAACCTATCCTAATTTAACTTCATAGCAAATACAAATTTAGGTCGGAAAACTCTTAGATCAGTTTCCCCTAGGTCGGATGAGCTGGTACAACGCACTACTTGTCTGTATTGGAATATGTTTTGTCATATTTTGATCTCCAGTCAAAATACGTCAAAAATAGTAAAAAGCCTAGCCTGTGTACTTTAATATTTAAAATTTATAGATCAACAGAAAATATATAAAAATCCACATTTAATGGATGAAAACGGGTATTAAAAATAAGACTCACTTAATTGCAAACTAGTTTTTTTACCCTGCAAGTGGTTACTGGTTTTAAGTATGGTTGTAAATGAAAAAATATTAATTATTAATTATAAATCCATTTTTACCTCAACTCAAGATAGGTAACAGCACAGTCAGCAGCACTACTATAGTCTTCCACTAGAATTATGTTTTTTCCTTAGTTTCTTAAACAATTAAGATTCTATCTGGCCAATCCTTTTTATAAAGGCATGTGCCAAACTCAAAAAAGAAGAAAAAATTCCATAGTTACTTAAAACTTCATAGAATACATTTTTTTAATGTGTTGAACATCTTAGATTCGATTATAAACTTTGCTTGCCTGTTTGTTTGTTTGTAACCAAAAAACGTTAAAACGGCTGAACCGATCGGACCCAAATTTTTTGTGGAACCTCACATGACCTTAGGAAATGTTTGGTTTTCGTGAAATTTTGAAAATCCAATAAAAATTTTATTATTGTTTTATCGAAGAAAAAATGCTAAAAGATTGAGCAAACAATAAAAGGTTAGAATAGAAGATGTTCGCGCTCTGACAGCCAAACATTAATGAAAACCAAAATATTGAATGTTAAAAAGAGATATGCCCATCTCTGACAATATATAGTTTACACAGATAGGCCAAGAGTAATATTAGTTGGTATATAATCATGTTGGCAGTTACAATATCAAAAAAGTAACTAACTATATTTAGGGAGATAGAATTGACAAAAGATACTTTTCTCATCCGATCTGTGTAATCAGTAGTGTTCAAGACCAATAAAGATAAAAATATATTGAATGTAATGGTTTGTTCAAGTGACAAAACTAAAAAAAAACTTCTCTCTAAGAACAATAACTGGGAAATCATTCAGAAAAGCTCAAGGTTATAAACTTTTCTGTAAAACTATAAAAAACATAAGTTTTGCTTTAAAAATTTCCGAAAAAAGGATTTTTGATGAATTTAACCTCTATAATAAAATTAACATCTTTGAAATAGAAAAAGCTTGTAAAAAGAACAAATTATTTTTGTACAATTAAACTTTAGATGAAAGGGCCGGGAAATTAAGGAAAAACGAATTTGGGAAAAAAGGGGAAATAATAATTTGAGAAAATATTCATTTTATTTGATTTAAGATTAAGAATTTTATAAAAATATGTACCTTTGAAATATGCAAATTGTAGATAATGATAGAAAAGGGGCAACAAATCCTCTTCCTAACATAAAAACATTTATCTTTATTATGAGTTGAGTTGGGTTGGGTTGGGTTGAGTTGGGTCGGGTCGGGTTGGGTTTGGACGGGTTGAGTTGAGTTTGGTTGGGTTGGGTTGGGTTGAGTTGAGCTCAGCAGAGCTCAGTTAAGTTGAGTTGACATGAGCCGAGCTGAGTTGAGTTGAGTTAAGAAATAATCCCAATTAGTATATTTGATGGAAGAGCAAAGTACCCTATACTGGTCTGTAATGCATCGAATGTACCCAGTAAAATTATGAGGAATATTTATTATCTTCTTGTGACGAATTCTTTGATCGGTGTATTTGTATAATATTTGTATATGTATATTTATAATAATTACACCATGATTTTAATTATCTGAGGAAAAAAAGGAAAGTTTTTTCATTCTTTTATAAACTTTTCCTCAAAAAAATCATTAATTTTCAGCGAACAAAACGCTGAAGAAAACATACCATACAAAATAAGATTTACAGAAGGGGGGAGGGGCGAAATGTTTTTTTTTGAAATATACACGCTTCAAAATGGTGTTAAAAGTATGTATATTTACCATGCCCCCATTAATCCTATGAAGTTGTGTGGCACAGTTTAGTTTACACTTAGTACAGAACGTGAAATGGTTGGAAACCGAACTAACGAAATCTGGAAACCTAAGACGAGAAGAAAACAAGGAGTATGGAATAAAAGGGAGATACAACTGACGCGCCCCGCCCTACCATATGATTATACATGCTTTGCAGACTGTACTCCATTTGTATAAGAAATATCTAGAATAGGTTATTGTATACGCGGTAATTTTACATTAGACAAATATTTCTGCAAAGCATGTATAATCATATGGTAGGGCGGGCCGCGTCAGTTGTATCTCCCTTTTATTACATACTCCTTGGTATAAAACCTTTATATTTAGCAGTTTTGACAATCAGAGTTACCCACGAAGGAATGGTCTTTTGTCTTGAATATAGAAATAAAATACAATGAGCCCCATAACACTGTGAAATAGAGAGACGTCTGTTAGACTCAAATTATGATTTTACCGCCTTTTTATCAACATTCCCGACCCATGATTCCCCCAACAGAGGGACGTTACGTTACTTTCCGTCCCTTTGGACGATCAAGTAAAATAACAACCCGCTTTGCGAAGTTTTCATAAAAAATCGCGTATTTTCATCTCTAAAGACGATAGAATATGTACAACTACTTTTTCGGGGAATAAAAATGTAACTTAACCACGGGTTCCCTCGACCAACTTTGCCAAAAAAACAGCCCTCACTGCGCTCTGGATGTTTTGTAAGCAAATTGGTATTGGGAACTCTTGGTAAAGTAAAATTCCTTTAACTTCCCTGTAAAATAATTATAAATGATCATATAACTTATCAATTTTGACGTTCATCAAATGTAAACAAGATTGCTTCAATGTCGTCTTCTTCCAAATTTTTACGGTGCCCACTGTAATTGTGAAAAAAATTATCAGAATGTTGATTTTGAGTTTCTGCGTTGTTGATGCGTTTTTTCAAAGTTTAATAAATAGTTTTGCAAAGAAAATAAAAAAAGGCTCGTCTGTGGCCAACGAACAATTAATTTGAGAAAGAAAAAAACGACTGAATAAATTTCCTACGGTCGTATCGTGCAGTCTCATCCTTTGCGGTTCAAAGGCTTATAAAAGAAATTCAAATCTAAGAAAGAAATCTTTAAAAATCCGCGAAATATTTTTAAGAAAAATCACAAAGCCTGATAAATTAATATATCAAATCAGATTACAGAACAGAACAAATGTTTTTTTCCCAAAGAAAGTATTTCACCACTTGTGTTAAATTAATCATTACTTCAAATCAAGGTATTAGTACACAAATATCTTGAAAACATTTCTAAATTATAAAAAATATAAAATATAAAATGCAAACACTCACCAACCCATATTAAACGGTTTCTCACATCCCATTCTACACATTTCTTCTTCCTAATACAGGATACAAAATACAGAATACAGAATACAGAATACAGAATTCAGAATACAGAATACAGAATTTAGAATACAGAATTTAGGATACAGGATACAGGATACAAAATACAGGATACAGGATACAAAATACAGGATACAGGATTCAGGATACAGACTACAGGATACAGGATACCTAAGACACAAGATACAGTATGTATTCTGTGTTCTGTATTCTACATTCTGTGTTTTGTATTCTGTATTTTGTATTCTGTATCCTGTATCCTGTATCCTGTCTCCTATATCCTATATCCTGTATCCAATATCCTGTATCCTGTATCCTGTATCCTGTATCCTCTATCCTGTATCCTGTATCCTCTATCCTGCATCGTGCATCCTGTATCCTGTATCCTGCATATGTATCCTATATCCTGTATTCTATAAACCTGAAGGTATAGTTTGACAGCTAACTCCATGGATTCTACCAGTTTGCTCCAATTCTTCTCAGTATAGTAGGTTCTACCAGCTAGATAGGGTGCAACGAATTCCTAAAATAAAAGCAGAGATAATAAAGATCTATAATAGAGAATGGGTGCAACGAATTCTTAAAATACAAGTAGAGATAATAAAGATCTACTAGCTAGATAGGGTGCCATAAATTTCTGAAGTACAAACAGAGATAAAAAAGATCTACTTATAGTTAGATAGGGTGGCACAAATTTCTGAAATACAAGCAGAGATAATAAAGAAATATAAATTAGAAAATTAAAAGTGAGAACTTGAAAACTCTGGAATAGGAAGACAACTTTAAGACTTAAGTGTTTTTAAACAGTCGAGGGGACAAAACATATAAATTGAGCAGTCTAATAACTAAATAACTTTTTAAAAATTACTAGGTTAAACAAACTGTTTTGTAATAACATCAAATACACTTAATTATTGTTTTAATGTCGTCTTTATATTCTTGTTCTAAATGTTGTTCTCCCTGGTTTCTACCTGCTCCTCTAGGTTGACCAGGTTGGATGAATTTACTCCGGGTAGGGCCAGGTAGTAGTTCAGGTTTTCTCTCATAATCTCATGGTCTACAAACCATTTAAAACATTTATTCAATCATAAAAACTTTACGGTTTTGCCCATTTACTTTAATCAATAATACAAAACGCAACACTATAGTTTCAATGAAGTAAATATTTCCATTTACTGATAGCATCGATTTAAGGATTCATAACTCTAATTGGATAATAAGATAGATAGAAAGATAGATGTTACCGCCATACTATTTCTATTGGTTCAGAATAGACAACAAACACATGACTGAACCCTAATTGGACTCGGCATACAGGAGTGGCAACAATATGGGAAGTAATGCAAGGTGGATTTTTTGAACCGAATAAAATGTCTCCGGCATTATAAATATTAGAATACAAGAAATCAATCCAAAATATGGCGCCTATTGTAAAAATATGCATTTCTTCTGTTCAAACGCCATAAACCTTGTTTTTTTTTCAGTAAATTCAAATCTTAAATTAGAAAGTTGTTGTAATTCCTACACAGTATTAACAAGACTTTAGTCTACCACATGGATCGAAAACGATATAAAAGTCATCGCTAAATTCCCATGTTTTTTGGGACACCCTATGAAGCAGAGCGTGGATTTTGAAACATATTAGAAAAAATAATTCGCATTACTGATCAAATTTTAAAACCCTATTTCTGCAATACGCAATTAAGAAATATAAATTTCAAAACGAGTTTCCAAAAATCTTACATACTAGTTTTTAGGGCGATTGGATTAGCCGTTAAACCCAGTTTTTATCTGGATTCTGGATTCTGGTTGGTTGAAATTAAAAATTTTGCCTCAACATAATTTGGATTTTTAAAAACTCGTAAATCGTCCAATGAATTCAGGATAAACTGCAAAAAATTATTGATTATTATTTCAAAATGTACGAACGATTTGAAGAAAAATCCTGTTATGTAACATTTAAGCTTAGATCATTTATCACTGTATACACAATATAACTATTGTTGAATTGTTAGTGATGGTGAAATATGAGCCTATTAGGCTAATATTCCCCACAAGGGAAACGGATTAAATGTCTGTTTTCCCACTTTTGCAGAATAAATATAATAGACGTTGAGTATATTTATTTACACAATGTACACTACAGCTTTTAATACGTTTTTTAATAGTAAGAAGTCTCAGTTTAAAAGAACCATTATGTATCCCAACTTTCCGAATTAGAAACTGAACTTAGACTATTTACTGCTTAAAGATGTCGTGGACCGGAGAAACGTATTTTCTCGAAAATTTAATTTTAATTTTTAGTTTTATATTTTTACGAGTAGATATTTAATGAGGCTCGATATATTGTATGGGTTCAAAGCCGTAAAATTATTTTCATATTTTTCATTTATGTACAAGTCAAACAAAACATTTTTTGTTAAAGGGAGTGTTCGCTAAAGATATAGAAAATATGAATTATTAACTATAAAATAATGAGTCGAAAAATAGTCGATGACTATTGTTTGCAATTTCTAATGATTTTTTTGGAATTAAATTGATTATTTCACGCTCTGAGTTTAATGTTACATCTTTCTGAATTTTTATGGACGCTACGTTCTTCAGCATGAGTCGTTTTTAACAATTTTCTCCTTATAGACGCAACAGATAAAAGTATGATTAGTAGCGATCAAAATCGCTTATTATTCGCCGTAATCCTATACCCCCTTTCATTTTTCGTGAACACTCCCTTTAAGAAATATTGCTCAAAATAAATTTATAAAAATGGAAGTCAGAGAATTCTGATTAAATACATAATTTTTTAATGAAACTATACTCCAGTTTACATCCTCTTAATTCTTCTTAAAAATCAATACAACTTTTTATAGCAGTCTGGATCTATATGTGCTTTAGCTTTATATAATTTATGCTACATAATGTTTCTGTACTGTAATGAGAAACGATGTAGTCCAATGTAAACCCTTTAACTATGAACGTATAACCCTCAAACAGTAGAGGTATTCAAAAAAACATTTTTTACTGTTCTCATGATTCTTTTTTTTCAATATATAAAATATATTCAGTCTTTTTTCTTCCATTTTGGCATCCTTGCGCCCATAATTTTTTCCATTCAGTATTTTATTAATAATTGACTCAAGGCAAAAGACAAAATTCCAACTTCAGATTATTGTATGCATGTATCCATGGATAATGTAAATCGTTTATTGTTGGCATTAAAGTCTCATCCTTGGTGGGTAACCCTGTATATACTTACCTTGATTAAACATGAGATTTGTGTACGCTGCATTGGCGGCTGATTGGTTATTCTAGAGTACAAGAGAACCTTCATTCATTTATTCATTCATTTATTCATTTATTTAATCATTCATTATTTTACAGCATCATTAATTTATTCTTTTTTCACGGAATCATCCAGTTATTCATTCAGTATTTCAATAATTCATTTATAATTCATCCAGGCGTTTATCCTTTTATTCATCCTATAATTCAATCATTCCTTCATTTATTTACGCACCCATTCACAAATTAATTTATTGTTTCATTCATTTAAGCATTCATTTATTTATTTCATATACCTTAATTCAGCTAGACATTTTTCAATTATTATTTTAATAATTCACAGATTCATTCATTACTTCATTCAATAATTCACTAATTAATTCATTTATTCATTCAATAATTAATTCATTCATTTATATATACACCTATATATTATTAAAATCAGTTATCCAAATTCATTCACTTGTTTATTTATTTATTCATTTATTACATTATCTAGACATTAATTCACTAGTTCACGCATTCATCCATTAGTTAAGTCGTCTTTACATTAATTCTTTTATTCATTAATAAAATCATACATGCAAATTCATTCACTTATTTATTCATTTATTCAGTTATTCAATCATCTAGGCATTATTTTACAATCTCAAACATTCATCTATTAATTAAGTCGTCTTCAAATTAATTCATTTATTCATTGTTAAAATCGTCTAGACATTTATTTATCTCGAAGAATGAAGGATTATTGTTCCTTTGTCTGGTAATAACAAAGCTGAAGAAAGTCGTATGTTTTACGAGACTGAAAATCCTGAAGAAAATACAAATTATAAAACCCTAAATGTGGAATTATTAAAGGAACTGAGTCTTTGTCACAAACTCAAATTTTCTAATCCCTTTATCTTTACAACGTGATAGTGGAAATCTCGTATATTCTAAACTTAGATTATTATTTTATTCAACAGAATTGATAGTTTGAAATATCCAACGAGGTTATAGTGAATAGAGTGATAATGTACGCTAATCTTTTACTAATTGTATAGGCCATAAACTATACCGAGAGTGTACTGCATATTTGTTTATTATAAGTTGATTCTGGCCTAACCTATAGTATATCAATATTAGTAAACAGTTGTAAGTGTACAGTACAGCTAACTGAGCACACAGGTAGAGAACTATCATCCCCCTGGAAATATCTAAGGTTTACGACATTGAGTTGACACAGCTGAAGGGATTAGAAAATCAGAGTTTGCGGCAAAACTCAATTCCTTCGAACTGGGCAGGACGCATGAGGTAGAAAAAGAGTCTAAAAAGAAAATCGGATATTTTTTATTAAAAGCATTTCGGTCTTAATTAAAGTTTTTTAGTCTTAAATATCTAAAATGAAGTTTAAGCATAAAAGTAATCCTAAGAATATATTAAATGTCAGATATTTAAAAGCAAAAATGTTGGATTCTAAAAATAAATTTTAAAAACTCCTAAAAAAACAGCTTCTTAAAATCAGAAACACCAAAATAAAAAGTAAAATTTTAGAACTAAGGTCGTGAGAATATCTTAAAAATATGATCATCTTAAAAATGTGAGAAAAAAAAGTTTTTTTGTACATTTTGTAATGAAATATTACTTACGTATATTTTTGTGCAAAGGCAAGCAAAATTTTCCATACTAAATCTTCTAATATAAATGATAGTTTTAGAAATCCCTTTAACATGATATATTGGTAACAGTGGATTAATGGATTTACTCTAAGCTAGACAGGGTGAGCAATTAATACATTAAACTTAATCTAAAAATATAAAAATGCGAGAAACTTAAGTTTAGCATGAAACTGTTCAATGTGGTAGAGCTAACAAAGTATAGAAAATACCTAATTTGATAATATTATTTAAATATGTATAATAAATCCGATTATTTCCTGTAATGGCCTCTCTTAGTCCTCTCTCCTTTGCACTGTTATAAATCCCTAATCTGTTTGTCACAATAAATTAGGTTACTTCCATATTATACACCAAGTGAGCATCCATTTTGAGAATTACATGGTTTAACTACAACGATAACAACGAGATAAACTTTGTTATCTTCTACCTTGTAAAACTGTCAATTTTGTCAATTTCCTTTCTTGTCTCTGCTGTATAAATAATTGAGTACTTTTCAAAGAAAAATAGGAATATCTCAATCATTTTTGCTTAGACAAGGTTCATTGTGTCTTCCGCCACATAGCATAAAAAAGCGTCGAAAAAAATCAAACTTATTTGAAATAATTCAGTTTATTTAAAAAAAGTTCGTGTTCTGGATTTAGTTACATTGTTTAAGGGCGGATTCAGGATCCGGATCCGGATCCGCATCAAAATGAAATGGCAGTAATATGTAATTTGAAAAAGAAGATCTTATAGATATGTTAAATTACATAAATTACATAGTATATGAAGTTACATAGTTAAATTACATAGTATCCATCAGAAAAATATAAAATTCTTTTGTTACATTGCGTAATTACTTATTACTTGTCATTGAATAATATCAATTAATCATATTTTCAGATCCAGTAATACATTCAGTCTATATGTAGATATATTGCATGGAACTTATATATATGTAAATAAATAGAATAAAGTCTTAATGTAAATATATGTCGCATAATATTCTTTATATATATTATAATATCGTCATGTTTCGGTTGATATCATTTTGCGAATTTACCTAAAATTATAATTTTCATACAAACTAAAAGTTTTAGGAAGAGCCTAAAACTTAAGAGAGTTTCGATGAACGAAACCCTTTTGGGGTCTTAACATTTATGCAGATTTTGAATTAAGACTAGAAACCAAATCAGATAAAATTCTGCACAAATATTTAAAATTACTTTACCCTGTAAGAAAAAAACTGCTAACTTGGAGCAGCCATAACCAGTAAACACATTTACCGCATTGTTTAATATAATGTACCAGATTATGTACCTGTACAAGATCTGGATCTTCTATTTCTTCCTTGCGATTTGGATGAAGTTTACCACGCTTACATTTCATCAGGCATAAAGTTTCTCGTATTAAACCCTAAATATACAGATGTCAATATTTAAAAATTTCATTCAAAATCTTACAAATTTTGATTTTGCCGTTGTTTTAATGTTTTAAATTTCTTGAGATAATACCTACATAAATTTGGATAAAGTTTAGAAAAATTTTCTTTTTCCAAATAAGCCAAAATCGGTGTCATAGGATTGAAAGGTTAAAAGACGGTGCTGGGATCTGCAAAGCTAAATTATTTAATCAATTTCGGACATTTCGGAAGAAAATCTCAATTAGAGTTGGGGCAGTAACAAAGACGACCTCTTATAAAAAAGAATTGTAGAAATCTAAGGAAATTTTGGTTGAAAATCTATGCTTGTCCTAAAAGTTTTTAAAAGTTGATTTCAAAGTTCTCATTCTTCAAAATAGATATACCCTTGAAATTAGAATAGATATTAACAGATTTTTACCTCATAATGTAAATACTCTTTAATTGTTTTCACAACATATTCTGTATTCTTCTGTTTCTTGCAATCTGATTTACAGTGGTTGACCAGGCTCGTGTAATCCTTGTAATCGCTACACAAACATGTTAGAAATATTTGATCGCCATTTTGAATCTCATACAGCTTAGCTTTTTTGCTCTTGAAGGTTGCATTATTTTAGAGGCTATGTAAGAATGAGAATTTATATTTTATAAGACAGTAATAACTACACAAATAAAGATTTATAAAATTTGATCGCCTTTTTTTTGGGTTTTTTTTTTTGCGGTTAAAGGTTGTAAATTTATTTATTGTCTTATAATTTCCCCTCTATTTCTTCTATATGGAAACCATAATTGAAAATAATCAGTCTATAAAACCACGGTTATCTCATTCATGCTTAAAAAGAAAAAGCTTTAAAGGGTTACGTTTTGAATTGTCATCGAGTAGTGTTTTCATGACATATTGGATGATTTTTAATTCGATCATCAATTAACCTTCCCTCAGGTCATGCGAAGTCCCAAACAAATTTGGGCCCGATCGGTTCAGCCGTTTTGACGTTTATTGGATAAAAACAAACAAACAGACAAGCAAAGTATATTTAAATCCAGCAAAGTTTATACATACATAGATATAATTACTGATTACCAAGAAGTTAGCTCTTTCATAGTGCAATAAATCGATTCGTAAAGTTTACTTTTGCTTTTCAATGTATTCCGGCATTTTTGAGGATTTTCTATTTTTTTAAGTAAACTATTTGTCATTTTGAAAATAATTCTGAACTTAAAATCTACAGTTTATTTCTAAACAAGATTGACTAAAACATCAACGTGTCTTGCTATTCTTACATTCTTCATGCATCGGCATCGGTGCTAAAATATAAATGAAGAAAGTTTTTAAAAAAGGATTAAAAATAAAACTAAAATATCTCGGTTCTAAATGAAATGTTAAAATTACATTTTGGAATACCGATGGCTTTTTTATTGGTACACCCTGTAGGTTTAAAATTGCTCTGGTTTGATCGGATGGATTTAGTCTCTACTCTGAGTACTTCTGAGAGCACAGTGGCCCACGCGGAGTAAACTTAAACTCCTCTGGGAGTAATATAGGAAACAGGAAAAATTAATTAAAATTTGTGTTGAAATTTCCTGAGGGCAGCTTCAATATATTTCACGCAATCCTAAAATAAATATTTTTTGAAGTTCACGGGTATTGAGTCTTTGCCACAAATTCTAATTTTCTAATGCCTAGATCTGTGCAACCCAACGTCGTAGACCTTAGATATTTCAACCTTTGAGTTCTGTTGGATCAAGTAATTTAAGTTTGAATTATCAAATGTTACAAAGTTATGGATATTAGAAAATTTGAGTTTGTGGCAAAGAATCGATTCCAATACAGAATCTTTTGGTCCAGTTTATTTTGATTTAGTTTGTTTTATTTACATACAGATAGTTTCTTATTATCACACCATGGTGTTTAT